TGTGCCAGGTGCATTTTTCCCACTGGACATGATGGAGTACTTCGTCTTGTTTAGCTGTCCTCCTCTGGGCCTTGTGGCCACTGGCCACACACACACACCTGTCTTGAGGTCTCAGACTCCCTGTGAAGAGCTTTCCCTCAGGTCTCCAGTGGAAGTTCTCTCTCACTGTGCATGAAGGTGATTCATTGATGAGGAGAGTTTTGAGACTCGAGCTGGCAGGAAATATGGATCAGTATTCGGCTCGATTGGCAGAAGTGGTGGGTGGGTGTGTGTGTGTTATGTGATGTGGGAACACACACAGCTCTCTCGAGTCGACTCCTCCTCGGCTCGGAGATCAGTGTGAAAGGGACAGGAGTTCGTAGCGCCATCTAGCGGTGGGGTGAAGGAGGTGCTCGAATGTGACACGACGCACCAAACAATATAATTACTGTTTCGTAGTAATTAATTATTGAAGATATTTACTTGCGGTTTCTGGGGAGAAATTGTTCTCTTGCCTTTTCAAATAAATCCATTATCAATTATTTTTAATGATATAATAATACGAGTCTTGGTGCAGTACAGGTAAAAAAATTGGCACTGTTTGAGAAAATTGTCATCATATCATTATTAGTAACAAATAAAAAAGAAAGATAGTTTCCTCAGGGCTCAACACTAAGGATTTTTTTTTTTAGATCAGATATTTAAAGGTGCTGTATGTAACTTTTTCACTCTACCTAAGCATGAAAATACATTCACTTTATGAACTAGTTCAAAGTTCAGTTTACACATTTTAAAATGAACTATGATACAATGATAAATGATACAACCACAGACAACAATTATTTTTTCGACAGGCAAAGTTTACAGAGAAATGTAAGATTCCCATCCTCGCCGACCTCGACGCCTCCAGTCCTCGCTGCTTTGTCGACGGTGGCCGCGGTGCGACACTCGTGTCTTGTGTTGCCAGATTGGGTGTTTTTTCGCTACATTAAGGCCTGTTTACATGTGTTTTAACTGGGTTTTCGCCTGGAAGGCTCTATTGAAATCTGGCAACCTATTGTACAAAGTTAAACTGAGAGAGCGTGCGTTCACAGACACCAGAATGAACACGTTTGTTTGATTGATTAGCATAGAGGAAATTGTAGGCCTAGGCCTTAATGAGGCTGCTGTCGCTTTAAGAGCTAATGCACAGATTCATTATATTAACACACATTAGATTTTTTTTCTTAACTGTTTATGTTCACTTAAGACTATTTCTACTTGTCAAGATGGGTATTTTGACATAATTATGTGTGTATTTGCCCAAGAAGAACTCAACTGTTTACGCGTGCTGCTGCTTTCTGTGCGCGTGATTCAGGTGTGTGTGTGTGATGGTAGTTTTAGGGGGGCTGAGACCACAGACAGGGTAAAAAAAACTGAGTTTTTAAAAGTAATTACTTTTTAGAAAGCACAATTTTGATTTGAGAAATAGACAATGCAGATTCAGCAGCACAACACATCTATGTTGATTTTGTGGATTTAGCATTTAAAATTGCCAAGTGAGGACAAAGACATACAAGCAAACAAATAAATTAGACAGTGTAGAAATACAGGGAACAATAATATTATACCACCACTTTTTAAAAGACATTTAAAGATAAACAATTAAAAAAAAATTAAACACAAGATAGGGTATGTCTAAATAATACTCAGATATTTTGTTCACCTGATTTTAATCATTTAATCATCACCACAGTTTTATGTAAGCTACGCCTATATAATAGGTATTATAAAACGGTTAGTTCCAACCCTTGATTCTGATTGGTCAATAGCTGTGCTTTATTCATGATAAAACACGGCTATGACCGCTTCACCCATCGGTTCTTATTTATCACTGCAGTTCCTATGTCGTGTTTATTTGTGCTTTCATGCATATTACACATTGGAACTTTGTTGCTGTTCACTGCCAGGGACTATATTTTTCTAGCTGAAGGAAGGCTTTTAGTGATTTTTACCTCATGAAAGTAGCACTAATACATTTTTTTTTTACTTTAATATTTTTATTGTGTGTTAACCGTTTTATAAACAACAAGGTACTCGAGGCAAGTGCTGTAACGGCTGATAGGGTTGCAGGAACTTCGTTACGCCCATCAGCCAATACTTATTCACAGCACAGCCTCTAGTACCTTATTGCTAACATAACAAATGAACATGATTAAAATGTATTATCATTATCTTTAAGTTAATCAGCAACACCAAAAAATATTTTTTTTTCCAAAACAATGAATATGGAATCTTTTCCTGAATATCTTCCTGCGCACCGCCAACATCTTCAGTAGCTTATCTTTTGACGTCAATCCACGTCATGCATCGAGCTGTCAGTCAACTATATAACGCTAGAGGACAGTAGAGTCCTAGGAGCAGGAGAATGAGAATTTTGCTATTGGCAGGTAACACTGTCAATCTACCTGCCACATTGGCAGGTGGCCAATGATAAACTGAGGTTCGGGGCCTCCCCCTAGAAAATTTTGATTTCTCTGACCAAATTATGTGCGATTTAAGACTTTTGACGGCCAAAATAAATAGCTTTAAAACCATGTCAGTGGGCAATCGATTATTTTTGCACTAGCCTGCTCTCTTCTCATCTACACCTTATCCTGCCCTATTTATTCCCTTCCTAAACTCCAAAACCCCATGAACTTTGACTGATAGTCATTCATTTTCGTATTGTCAGTGAAGTAAATAGGCTTAACTGATAATTATATGTTTTATGAATCATTATCTTCAACAAGTTAATTTACTCAAGGCTACCATGTCAGTATTGCCACCTTCTACAAGCTTTAGAATTTAAAAAAGTATTTTTTTTTTTTTAAATTTTAAGTCCCCCTTTATGTGTTGAGTAATTCATTAGGATTTTTACATTTCAACGAAGTCCGCCATTGTGTTGGACTTTAGGCCAGCTGAAGCAAACAACCAACAAAAAGATGAGGATGAGAAAAAGAAAAGTAAAAGATATTTTAATACAAAGTGGACAATGGCAAGGCTCATGAGCGGCTGATTTATGACAGCGACTGTTGTTTCGTAACGTTCATGCGATCAGAAAGAAGATGAGGCCCTTTTCTGACCATGTTTGGATGTGCGAGTACTAAACTGTTGGTGAGATAGGATGAGATAAATGTTACGCTGATGTAGGCTACAGTACAATGACATTTCAACAGATGTGTGCCTTTTGGGAACCGGTGAGAAAATGTCCGGTACCCGGTAACTCTACCAGTAACTACAATATTAATTTAGTTCATAGTTAACGGTTCCTGAACGCTGTAACTAAAAGCTGTAAGACCGATCTACGTCACTGTGGCGGATGTTGATGAGCCTGGCTCAGGTCAGTTTGAGTTTTTATTGAATGGAATTTGTTTACAGTAAAGAATACATAACAACATTATTTTGGTTTGATAAACTTTATTTAAACTTTCGTTTGGAGTTAAGTGCGCATACTCTTTAAGGTTTAGTTCAAGTTTATACTTACCGTTCTTTTTGTTTGTTTGCTTGGGATACCTGTGAGCTTGTGCACGATCAAAAGGGGTTTGAGAGGAAACATTGGACGTATTTATATGGTTCCGGCCGATGATCGGGCCACAACCATTCCGGTTTCTTCTCCGGGGGAACTCCAAGGACTATTTTGCTTGCTTTTCTTTTGTTTGTTTATAAGAAGTACATTTATTAAGTGATGTCATTTGATAGTATCATTTGAGGTGTTTGTTTATTTATATTGGGTGTTTTCATGTTCGTTTTATTGTGTGTAATGGCCATTCTATATCTCTGTATCCCCCTTTATGTGTTAATTGGTGCTGGCCACCAAGGAGTTAGTGTTCTGTGAGAGAACGGGTTCTGTAAACCCTCCTTGGCCTCTGTAAATGTTTGAGAGTAACCCATCGTAATTGTATGTTGATGTTTTATTTTTTGTTATTTGATTTTTGGTATGTTTGGTTTACCACCATTGGGTTAGCATTGGCTTTACTTTTGTAACCCCATCCTGTGGAAATAAACCCCTAAACGTTTGCAGTAGCCTGCTGCCTCCGTGTTCTTTTATCCTTGGTCACATCTATCACAGTGACTAAATCAGCCATCAATATATATATATATATATATATATATATATATATATATATATATATATATGAAGAGTTCAGATGCAAAAGCCTCTAAATGCCATTTGAAATTTTCTTCTTTAATGATGATTTTTATCAAGCTTGTATATTTAAGTTCAGTAATTTCACTTAAATAACAATTAATAGGTAATTATCATTGCCATTTAAGTGAAATTACTGAACTTAAATATACAAGTTTGATAAAAATCATCATTAAAGAAGAAAATTTCAAATGGCATTTAGAGGCTTTTGCATCTGAACTCTTCATATATATATATATATATATATATATATATAATGTTGTGTGTGTCAAAATCAATGAATAAAAAATGTATGTTTTTAGAGTTATTATTACTTGACAGCACTTAAATGTGTGTATTCTTACAAGTTAAAGAACAATATTGGGAAATTCCTGGGGTTTTTTTTTTTCACCTTTATGAGGCAAAAAAAAAAAAAGGCAGGTAAAAAGTCTCTGTGGCAGGTGAATTTTTAAATCCACCTGCCACAGTGGCCGAAAAAGTTAACTTCAGGCCCTGCCTATGAGACATGAAGCAGTTCTTTACTCCAATAAAGGGCAATAGTAAGAAAAATTAGGCTATATATTATAATTGAGCGGTTTAGTCAGAAAACCAACACATTGTGACCACACAATCTTTTTTAGTTTAATATATTTTGGAGTTTGATACTCTATTCATCCATCATTTTCAACCCATGATTTGTTAGCTCTCTGAATGCATACTCTTTTGCAAAATCATCTTGGAACTCTAAAAAAGATACAAAATGTTTTAAAAATGTCCTTGCAAGACATAAAATATGATCATGTGATTTGCAATAATGTTAGGCTGCATGTACATTAGTGGAGCTGAACTTAAAGAAATGACAATCACCAACGAGTTGAAATATTGCCTTTATAATTATTTTCAAAATAAACATGAACATTTTAGATATAATTTTTGCTTTGGTTGTTGTAAAAACTATACACCACAGACTTGAACGAGAGAACATTGTGCTTTGCTATGAACAGGCTAAATGGCTTGTAAAAATTTTACAATAAATTACAATCAGCAACTTTTGATAGAAAATATTTGGCCTTTTTTTGGTCATTATACATATAACGAGTAGGAAAACCTTTCAGTTCATAATTACAAAAAAAAAAAAATGCCATGGGTGTATTGCAATTAAACAAAGCAGTCTGTTTTTAAATAAGAAAATATATTGCATAGGCAAAGTAAAAAAAGTAAAAATAGTCTGACTCTGAGGGAAACAATAAGCATTAAAACAGCTAAAACTGCTTACTTAAACATAACTATAGTAAAACTGGCATCGCTCAAAACTCAAATTTTAGGCTGAACAGTCTGAATTGATTTTTCACTCAAGGCATTCAGGGCGACTTGCAAAGTCTGTTTGTTTGATACATTTGGAAATGTTTGAAGAAGTCACAGTGATGTGGTTTTGATCCCCCTCATCCTCCGTAACAGAGGAGTCATCAGACAGATATTTCAGTCAAAGTGAGACATTAATCAGCTTAAGCTTTAGACCCTATTTTACAATACAGGATCATGGACACAATCATCGCCGCAAGCTGAAAATGAGAAAGAGAGAGAAATAAATACCATTAACGTCACAGAAGTTCATTACCGTCATAAAGGGCTTTGTATATATACGTATAGTTATAGTTAGGTATATTACGTTTGTAATTATTCTCCTAACAAAGGAAATAAATGCATTACCCATTAAAGTTAACAGAGAATCAAAATTTACTACATTTATTTTTTTAAGGGAGCGTCCGCACAATTACACCTCATTACTTTTACATGGTTTTTCAATGTAAGCACGTGCTAGACGGATGTGTTTGACATTTTTGCAGCTTCAAAGAAACAAACATTTAAGAAAATGTATCTCAATGTATCTCTTTTTACCGCAGTCTCATTTTTTTTTAACCCCAAAAACATCTGGCCCTAATAAATGTCTTTAGTCTTATTTGGTACATGATTCATTATATATATATAAGATTTGTTTTTGTAATCTTTCATAGAAACGTGAATGCATTGTCTGATTTTTTTTTTTTTACACAAAACTTGATTAAAATTCAAAATATATACTTTTTTTTCTAATGGGATAACTGAAAATTTAATTTATGATCGATATTGCAAATTTATATTTCACAATTCTGTTTTTTTTTTAAATTATGAGTCAACTCAGAATTGCAAGAAAAAGTCAAATTATTAAAAATAAACTCGCAATTGCAAGTTCTAAACTACGAATTGTCAGATATAAATGCACAATTGTGAAAGAAATGGTGAGTTTAAAGCCTATCTAGTAGTTCTCACATTTTTTCTCAGAAATATGAAATACAAACTCAGAATTGCGAAATTATAGCCTGAATTGTGAGATAGAAACTTGGAATTATAAACTGCAAATTGTGAGATATAAAAAGTCAGAAATGCGAGTTTATAGCCAATCTAGCAATTCTCACTTTTTTTCTGAGAATTGTGAAATATAAACCTAGAATTACAAATAATTAGTCTGAATTATGAGATAGAAACTTGGAAATATGAGAAAAAAGTCTGAAATGTAAGATATAAACTCATAATTGCAAGTTATAAACTCAGAATAGTGGGTTGATAGGGTTGAGTTCCCCTTCCCATGGGTGAAGTCGTAACGTGATACGAACTGGTAGATATTAACTCGGAAATAGGGGAAAAAAGTCTGAATTATTAGATTAAATGTCGCAATAACCGTTGACCTTTTCTATTCTTTGCCAGACACAAGCTTCCATAGTAAACAGTATGAGATTTCCTCACTTCTAAAATGATTGACAGAAATAAAGTATTTAGTACCTCAAGAGCAGCGATGCCCAGTGCGACAGCTATGATGACAACTGCGTTATCATCTACCAGCTTCTTGAGTGCTGGGAAACAACCTGGTATAGTCTGAGAGAGAGAGAGAGAAAACAAAGATACACGAATATAAAGGTCAAAGAGTGCGCAAAACCTCTAGACTGCATATGAATGAATATAAATATTTTCCTTACCGAGTTCATGGCTGCGTTCGCATTGCAGGAAAATCCACTACAGCACTGATTTGGGTAAACCTTGGTGTCATTCACAAAGTAAGAATTTGTGAAATCTGTATAGTTGTTGAATCCACAGCACTTCAGCTAAAGGAGAGTCAGATTTAACATGAGACTGTCAAGGTTCTGTATAATTTTGAGTATGTTTCTGTTGTAAATCTGTATTTCTTTTCATTCAGCCAAAGCGTCACAAACCCCTGTCATAGTCGTGTTCCATAGTCCGGTAAGGTCTGCGTTTTTCCCATAATCCTTTCTGATGCCTTTCACAGCTTCATCTCCCAGCTGATTTATGAGGGTTTCTGCCTGAAATATACAAACAAGGTTGTTTAAGTGGTGTGTGATTGTTTATATATAAAGTGCCTTGAGTGCCTTGGCCTTATAGTATTTCCTTCTGCATGGACAAAGAGATCTGTGCAAAAAAAATTATGTGTACAAACTTACCACAGGCTTAAAGACCAGAAGCACAATCGCTCCAGCAACTTCGGCGATGAAGACAATCAGAATAATGATGAAGAACTGAGGAGGAGAGACGAATTGAATGAATGAACAAATATGAAATTAAGTCCAGTATATTGTATAGACTACAGATCAAAAGTTTGAGGTTGGTGAGATTTTTTTTTTAAATAAAATCATACTTTTATTTAGCAATGACACACTAATTGATTAAAAAAGGCATTTATAAAGTTACAAAATATTTCTATTTCAAATAAACGATGCTTTGAATTTTTTCTACAGAATCCTAAAAAAAAAATGTATCACGGTTTCAACCAAAATATGAAGCAGCACAATATTCAACATGTATAATAATCAGAAATGAATTCGAATTATTAGAATGATTTCTGAAGGATCATGTGACACTGAAGACTGGAGTAATGATGCTGAAAATTCAGCTTTCATCACAGGAATACATTACATTTTAAAATATATTACTATAGAAAACGTAATTTTTCACAGTAATACTGTTTGTACTGTATTTTTGATCAAATAAAGGCATTATGTTCATTTACCTCGAGCTTTTGATTTGCATTTAAAGGAGTAGTTCACTTTTAAAAAGACTTTTGCTAATAATTTTCTCACCCCCATGTCATCCAAGATGTCAATGTCTTTCTTTCTTCAGTCGAAAAGAAATTAAGGTTTTTGATGAAAACATTCCAGGATTTTTCTCCATATAATGGACTTCAATGGGAACCAAACGTTTCAAGGTCCAAAAGACGGTTTCATTGCAGCTTCAAAGGGCTTTAAACGACACCAGACGATGAATAAGGGTCTTATCTAGCGAAACGATTGCTCATTTCATAAATAAATAAAGCTTTGTTTTTTTAAGCACAAATGCTCACCTTGCTTTGTTCTGTGATGAGCGTTAGTGACTCTCCTGTTCGAACTCGTTCATCAAAATGAACGAATCTTTTTTCGAGTCATTTCGTTTGTTGAATTTCGAGCATTTGTGCTTATAAAACTTAAAGTTTTTTTTAGCTGCACTGAAACTCTCATTTGGACCTTGAACCGTTTGGACCCCCATTGAAGTCCATTATATGGAGAAAAATCCTGGAACGTTTTCATCAAAAACCTTAATTTCTTTTCGACTGAAGAAAGAAAGACATGGACATCTTGGATGACATGGGGGTGAGGAAATTATCCGCAAAAGTTTTTTTTTTTTTAAAGTGAACTACTCCTTTAAAGGTCTAACACTAATGATATTCATATAACATTATATTGGATATATGATATAATAATAGATATCATATGTATAAAGACCAGCCAGTTAGTGAGGATTTTAGCTAACTGGAACTCCAGTTGTCTCTTCTAGCTGATATTCTGTAGCAGTTGTTGGAGTCATGATGTTGACGTACCAGCAGCAGCATACACCTGCTCTCTCTGACCGCTCCAAAGCAGCCCAGGAAGCCCAGGATGAGCAGCACAGCGCCCACCGCGATCAAGAGATATCCCACATTCAGGACCTGCCCCAGCTGACCTGGAGCTTCTGGGATTTTTTGCAGAAGACCCAGGACAGATCCACTGTCCACCTTCACCCAGATCCCCACTCCCAAAATAGCTGCTCCTGCCAGCTAAATCAAACAAAAGCACATCATATCAACATTAGTCTTCCATCAACGTGCCTTAAATGTCTTAAAGTCCGCATGGAATACAAATAGACAATACTTGTTTTTTTAAAGGAATGTAAACTAGAAATCTAAATGCACCCTAGCGGCAGAAAAAATGATTTCGCAGCCAATGTGGTCTAGAAACTCTCCATAGACGTTTTAGCTGGAAAAACCAAACTCTGGTCAGGCCAATCATGCCTTTTAAGGAAATTATTTAAATGAAGAATATACACTGTTTGTTCCTGGAAGAAATGTGATACTACAATGGAGGCGTTTCAGCGTAAACTCCCCCTGGAGTGACTTTGCAGACCTTTTTCATGCTCAAACAGCAATATTATACTCTAAAGAAAGATTTACATGCAAAAGAACATAAAAACGCCCTCATATCAACATATAGAGGCCCTCAAATGTATTTGGACCACACTTAAATGCCTGAATGTCATTGTTGAGCAAGATATTTGTTGTCTGCACAAAAGAGTCACGTTTGCAGCAATATGATTTGCATTCAACCCAGCTTAACCACATGAAAATGAGATGATTTGCTTGTTTTTTCTGTTGTCTATGGGTCTGGAGAAAAGCAACCCCCTTCATCGCCCTTGGCCTTCAGTATATACCCGCTGAGAACGTAAATGTAAATAGATGTTTTGGATTGAAATAAACTATATACAACATTTGATGCACCTGTCTTCATGCAAAACAAGGAAACAGTCACAGGCCATTAAAGCAGGTAAACCTGAAATGATTTTCATAGAATTATTTTAAAGTCGGCATGAAATCAAATTCGACAAATCTTCTTTTTATATGTAATATTGCAGTCACAGTGTTTATTATAAATGATTTATCTGTGCACTTCATTATTTTTTTTTTTAAATTCATGTACCCTTATAATCTTTAACCAAATACATTACCCTTCCCTCCCCCATCGAAACGACCTCTCTTCTATTTCGGTCACGTGCAATGGTGAAAGGGTGCGGCCAGATCCGATGAGGGTGTGGCTATCGATGCACCGCGTCTCAGAGAATCGCATTCAAATCTGCCTCCATTTTGTTTGCAACGGCCAACCTCCAACGATCCAATCAATTCCCGAAGGACGAATTCAAGCCCCGCCCTACATTTTTTTCTAATTTCAGAAGCCGTTTCACTCGGATATACGTCACGACAAGGAAAAAATTACAATCTCAACTTCCGTTTCACGCCGACTTTAAAGGAGTAGTTTAAAGAAAAAAATCATTTTCAGTGACTATCATAACGGATAAAAAAATTGCGTAATCTGACAGTGACTATCGTAACAGACAAAAAAAAAATCACGTAATCTGACAGTGACTATCATAACGGATAAAAAATCGCGTAATCTGACAGTGACTATCGTAACAGACAAAAAAAAAATCACGTAATCTGACAGTGACTATCATAACGGATAAAAAAAATCGCGTAATCTGACAGTGACTATCGTAACAGACAAAAAAAATCGCGTAATCTGACAGTGACTATCATAACGGATAAAAAAATCGCGTAATCTGACAGTGACTATCGTAACAGACAAAAAAAATCACGTTATCTGACAGTGACTATCGTAACAGACAAAAAAAATCACGTAATCTGACAGTGACTATCGTAACAAACAAAAAAAATCACGTAATCTGACAGTGACTATCATAACGGATAAAAAATCGCGTAATCTGACAGTGACTATCGTAACAGACAAAAAAAAAATCACGTAATCTGACAGTGACTATCATAACGGATAAAAAAAATCGCGTAATCTGACAGTGACTATCGTAACAGACAAAAAAAATCACGTAATCTGACAGTGACTATCATAACGGATAAAAAAATCGCGTAATCTGACAGTGACTATCGTAACAGACAAAAAAAAAATCACGTAATCTGACAGTGACTATCGTAACAGACAAAAAAAAATCACGTAATCTGACAGTGACTATCGTAACAGACAAAAAAAAAATCGCGTAATCTGACAGTGACTATCATAACGGATAAAAAAATCGCGTAATCTGACAGTGACTATCGTAACAGACAAAAAAAAAAATCACGTAATCTGACAGTGACTATCATAACGGATAAAAAAATCACGTAATCTGACAGTGACTATCGTAACGGACAAAAAGAATCATGTAATCTGACACAGTGACTATCGTAACAGACAAAAAAATCATGTAATCTGACCGTGACTATCGTAACAGACAAAAAAATCGCATAATCTGACAGTGACTATCGTAACAGACAAAAAAAAATCGTGTGATCTGAACCAGGCATTACTAAGACAACACAACCTGTCATAAACATGACATAGCAGATTAATTATCAGACTTAAGAAACCACCTAGCTTTATTGGTTAATATTTCATATTGTTTCACTCGGATATATTTAAAGGAGTAGTTCACTTTTAAAAAAACTTTTGCTGATAATTTACTCGCCCCCATGTCATCCAAGATGTCCATGTCTTTCTTTCTTCAGTCGAAAAGAAATTAAGGTTTTTGATGAAAACATTCCAGGATTTTCCTCCATATAATGGACTTCAATGGGAACCAAACGGTTCAAGGTCCAAAAGACACTTTCAGGGCAAACTGGAAAGGGCTTTAAACGATTCCAGACGATGAATAAGGGTCTTATCAAGCGAAACGATTGCTCATTTACAAAAAAAAAAAAGAACAAAATGAACAAATCTTTATGTCATTTGGTTCATTCAACGAATGAAATGAACGAATTGACTCAGAAAAAGATTCGTTCATTTTGATGAACAAGTTCGAACAGGAGAGTCACGAACGTGCATCAGGCGACCATTTGTGCTTATAAAACTTCAACTTTATTTTTATTTTTTTAAATGAGCGATCGTTTCGCTTGATAAGACCCTTATTCATCGCCTGGAATCATTTAAAGCCCTTTGAACAGTTTGTACTGAAACTCTCATTTGGACCTTGAACCGTTTGGACCCCATTGAAGTCCATTATATGGAGAAAAATCCTGGAATGTTTTCATCAAAAACCTTAATTTCTTTTCAACTGAAGAAAGAAAGACATGGACATCTTGGATGACATGGGGGTGAGTAAATTATCAGCAATTATCAGTAAATAATTTTATTTATTTATTTTTTTTTAAATGAACTACTCCTTTATCGGTTTATTAGCATGCTGAGGAACATGTGCAACGCATAAACCAGAACATAACTTTTCTTAAAACAAGCATGAGCTTTACTTACAAAGATGATACCATTGAAGATAAACATCATCGTTTTCAAAAATCCAAAGCAGCCCATTGTTATAGGATGGATATGGCACCTGAAGAAAAAAAGAAGACAAGAATTAATGCTAAAGAACATTTATACTTTTATACTTGGAGACTTTTGTTTTCCCAGAACTCTCACCTGTTTTGAAGCTGAAAATATATTAAACACAATTGCTTGGATGATTTTGCAAGACAAAGGACGCGGTCCAGGAAATGCTGTGGGGAAAAGACGGTGGTTTTTCTGTAGTAACTGATTTAACTAAGACTCTCGTTAACCCCGAAACGCTGCTCTCGCAGGTCAGAGCTTCATGCAAACCTTGCAAACCGAGTCTGTCACTTATACAGGAAATGACTCGGTAACAAGTTACACTCTGACAGTGTAAACTTAAAATATTACACACACAGAGTCTCCAAACTCCAAAGACATGCCTCATTTGAAGTGGGCAGGGCAGCTTTCTATAATCACGGTTAATAAAAGTGAGATTTTATTAGAAACAAATAGTGCTCACATCGCATTATGTACATAACCTAAGGTTAATGGTAAGCTAATTTCTGACGATTATGAATAAATATCAACTTTTTGTAGGAATTTGTTGGAAATAATTTTTGTTTCGTCAATAACCTTTGTGTAACTTGAATAAGGTGCGTAATATACCTATATCAATACCGTCCATATATACGCCCTATTCAGTTCTCTTTAAAGGTTAGATCCGTGTTTTAATAGGGCTGTGAATAGAGCCAAGGACCTGAGCTAATATTTAAAGAGTCTTTGAGCTTGTTATAGGGAACACAATGGGAGCGAGACAAAAACCTTCTTTTGCTCTTCCAAACTTAGAGCAAGGTCCAAAAGTTTGAGATAAGAAATAACCGGATTCGCCAGTATATTCTAGGTCACTATTCAAATGTGAGAAAATCAGTCAGAAAGTCAGTGTGTTTCTTGCTTTATGTACATATAAATACTATATACATGTTTGTGGTGTGGTGTGTGTATATATATATATATATATATATATATATATATATATATACACACACACACACACACACACACACACATATATATATATATGTATGTATATACTGAAAAAAAAGATTTTTGCTGCTTGTTCAAATTACTTAATTAAAATGAGCTTAAGCAACACAATTGTCCAAACTTAATTTGATTGTGTTCAATCTGTAAACTTTAAGTTTACTTAATCTGTTTGTGTTGGATTACATGAATGATTTGCATTTACTGAAACTGGACGGTGCTTGCTAGTTCCCAGCATGCTTTGCATAGGTTGAAATATAAATATAAATGTTGAAATTAAGTGCTATTTTATGCGTTTTTGAGAAAATGAGAAAAGGGGAAGACTTGATATAGTGTGTAGTTGTGTTTAATGTTCAATTACATTGAAATTATTAGAACCATTTAAATTACAGTTATTTTGTAAATTGTTTCATTGTTATTATCTAAAAAAAAAATTATTATTTTACATGACAACATATCGAAATCTCTTTTCTTTATGATAATTAATGCTCTCTGGAGTTAAAGTATTTGTAAAAAAAAAAATGTAAAAAAGGAAAAGAATTATTTTTTAAATCCTTTATGCTACTCTGAGCAATGTTTGAACTTTGTATTTTGAGCACTTCTTGTGTATTAGTCCTCAGATGCAAGTCGCTTTGGATAAAAGCGTCTGCTAAATGACTAAATGCAAATGTAAATTTTGCTTATGTTGCCAAAACAATGACTGCCAGTGACTCCACGGAAACAAAGGGAGGGGATTTTACAAGAGCATTTCCTGTAAAACACAATGTAAAATCCTCGACACAGAACACACTGCACGCATTACTGTACGTGGCAGTAACCAGATCTCACACTAACACAAATAGCCTCATTTCATGAACTACACTTCTGCTTTGTCATTGTCCACCAATAAGACCATCTATAAGTGCTGGTAAGTTGCGCATCACTTCCTGCTACAAGCTGAGATAACGTATGAGGCCTTTACTTCACTTATTTTGTTAAAGCGATGTAAAAAACATACAGTAATTATATATATTTTTTTACAGTGTACAGGTCTTTAAATAGTTTTTTATTGCCACATCCACAACCAGGCCAAAGTCAATCCAAAGGACACGTCTCAGATGTTTGTTCAGGCTTAAGATGAAGAGAAGCTTCTGATCGGGTCATTGTCCAAAGACAGATGAGATAAACATTTAAAAATCATCAATAAAGCCATATTGATGCAACAAGTTTCACAATTACAGGCTGTCAGATTTGCCCAGAGCCAATAGAATAGCAGATCAGTTTTTATCATCACTAGACATCAAATGTTTTAGGACTCCAAACTCCTTTTAGGTTGTAAAATGTAATTTATTATACACGAGACTTTAATTTTATTTTATGAGGATGAAAATCTTAAGTCGGATCACTTTGTCAGATCTATTTCGACTTTTCATTGAAAGGAATTCAGTTTTTCAGCAAAGATGCATTCAATTGATCAAAGTGACACTGTGTGTGTAATGTTACAAAAGATTTATATTTCAAATGAAATAAAAAAAAAATAATATTTTGCTGATAATTTACTCACCCCCATGTCATCCAAGATGTCCATGTCTTTCTTTCTTCAGTCGAAAAGAAATTAAGGTTTTTGATGAAAACATTCCAGGATTTTTCTCCATATAATGGACTTCAATGGGAACCAAACGGTTCAAGGTCCAAATGACAGTTTCAGTGCAAACTGCAAACTGTTCAAATTCCAGACGATGAATAAGAGTCTTATCAAGCGAAACGATCGCTCATTTAAAAAAAAAAAAAAACAAAGTTTGAGTTTCGTGACTCTCCTGTTTCGAACTCGTTCATCAAAATGAACAAATTTTTTCCCAAGTCAATTCGTTCATTTCGTTCGTTGAATGAACCAAATGACACGAAAAAAGATTTGTTCATTTTGATGAACGAGTTCGAACAGGAGAGTCACGAACGTGCATCACAGGACAGAGCAAGGCGAGCATTTGAGTTATTTTTTTTTTATTAAATGAGCGATTTAATTGGGAGATAAAACCCTTATTCATCGTCTGCTGTCATTTAAAGCTATTTGAACAGTTTGCAGTTTGCACTGAAACTGTCTTTTGGACCTTGAACTGTTTGGTTCCCATTGAAGTCCATTATATGGAGAAAAATCCTGGAATGTTTTCATCAAAAACCTTAATTTCTTTTCGACTGAAGAAAGAAAGACATGGACATCTTGGATGACATGGGGGTGAGTAAATTATCAGCAAAGATTGTTTTAAAAGTGAACTACTCCTTTAAACTAGCCTGGTAATACCAGACTCTGCTACTTCACTTTGCTAGCGAAATTAAATTAGCGGAAGTAGGAAGTCTGACGTACCTTTAAACCTTATCGTTATCAAATAATCTTGAAACAAAATGTATCACGGTGTTCACAAAAATGTTAAGCAGCACAACATAACAGATAATAATCAGAAATGTTTCTTGAGCGTCAGATGATTTCTGAAGAATCATGCGACACTGAAGACTGGAATAATGATGCTGAAAATACAGCTTTGATTACAGGAATAAAATAAACTTTACTATATATTCACAAAGAAAACGGTTATTTTAAATTGTAATAATATTAAAGTTTTTACTACATTTTTGATCAAATAAATGCAGCCTTAATGTGCAGAAAAACATTAAAAATTCTTACAGACTCTAACTCAGACAACGTTCATGCTTATACAGAAACAAGTTGTTTCTGTATAAGCATGAAAGTTGTCTGAGCAAACGTAGGATGAGTTAATACAATGACGTTATCATCTGAGGGTCAAAAGTCAGGTCACTGTTTAGCAGTCTGCTGATTTGTCATGTGATGAACATCTAAAACACAAGCAATTTACTAAAAACCCGCCGTTTGCTTCCTCAATAAGGAGAACTCAGTCAAGTATAATTAGTTGGGTCACTCACGAGACTTTATGACCATGGTGACATATGGGATAAACAAACACATTAAAAGTGTTTTAGCCTTGAAATGAAAATGCTTTTTCAGATCTGTGCCTGCAGGACACACACTAGTACGCTTGTTTTTCCTATTTGAAAATCATTCATAGGAGTGTGTTAATGTTTACACCGCGGGTTCTGCGTGATTAATCTGGTTTTGGATCACCTGAAACTCGATACCTGACTCACATATTCAGAGGTAAATCACAGGCAACAGTGCATGTTAACAAAACGGTAGCAAAAAAGATAAAGTGGGTTATGTGTGGCTGTGCATGGGACATGAGCTCGGGGGACTGGGACCTTTTTAGGGAGAAATGGAGACGGCTAATGACAACATGCAACCTTTGATATAGTGCAAGACACAATATAGGCTACCAGTGGCTGTTTAATATCAGGTTAAGTATCAGTTATTAATTTTCAACTGTCCATTATAATAAAACCTTAGATAAAAAGATACAAATAAATCAAATTAACAAAAGAATAATCTTTGTTTTATATCACTGCATTCACATTTGAGGTCTAAAAGTTTACTTACACCACATTACTGACTATAGTCTCAATCACTCCTGAATGTCTAGTGAATTATGATTTTTTTCCTTTAAATATCTTCTCTCTGGTAATCATTTGCTACCTTTTTGTGTGTGTGTGTGTATTTATCAGTCAAAAGTTAGGAAAAATTAATATTTTTAATGTTTTTTTGAAAGAAGTCTCTTCTGCACATTGTGTATATACGTATATATATGTGTGTGTGTGTGTATATATATATATATATATATATATATATATATATATATATATATAGTAAAGTTGTGCTCCTTCATATTTTCCTTCATAATTGATTAAAAAAAGTGATAAGATTTATATTGTTAGAAAAGATTTCAAATTTGAATAATATATGTTCAAGTTTTATTCATCAATGAATCCTAAAAAAAAGAGGCTAAGGGCACAGCGTTACAATGCCCCTATAGACCTTATTCAGAGCAGCGCCATGACAGGTATGAAAGTGAGGCTGTGAGGGATAGACGTACCGTGTTTCCAATGGCATCTGCTGTAAAAAGCTGAATAAAGCAGCTAGATTACATACAATTTTCCACAGCTTACATTGTCGGGAGTTTTTTGTCAACTGAAATTTCTTGGAAAGACATTTTTCCAGTATTTCATGAGCAGAAAAATCCGAAAACACATTAAATAACAGTACAGCCCATTGAAGAGATGCAAGTTTATCCCTCACAGCCTCGCTTTCATTCTCATTAAAAATCAAAGATGGCGCTGCCGTGAATAAGGCGTATTAGAAATATGCCATTAAATTCTATACTTTTAATGAATTCTATTGAGAAAACAAGAGAAACATGTAAATAAAGACTGAGAGTCAATGTTCAGAAATTACTAAATATTATTTTGTTTTGAATTATGCTGTATAGCTGTGTTTTCCGTAGTGTTTGTTGTCAAACTCAAAAATTAGTTTACTTTTAATTATTAAAAAATGCCATTATTTTATATGAAAAAATGTATTCAATAAATATTTTGGTTTGACTTGCATATTTTATTTATTAGATCAGATAGCATTTTATGCTCTTAAATGGCGATGTTACAATGTACCCCACCAATGGGGCATGTTGTCACATCTCACTTCCATTCTTTCAGGGTAAATCAAGAAAAAAGTATACACTATAGCTAGTAATAAAACAAAACCACATAATAGTACTAGACATGTGGGAAATTAATGTGGGGGAAAAAAAATACTCTAAACCCTAAATAGATTTACACAAATTGACAAAGTCATAAAGTGTTACTTTGTGCCCCGCTCTCCCCTAAGCAGCACAACAATTTCCAACATTGATAATATGAGTCTCAAATGATCCAATTGGGATTATTTCTGAAGGATCATGTGACATTAAAGACTGGAGAGAGAGATAACGCCCAAAATTCACAGAGAGATTTCACAATTACTGTTAGGTCTTATTTGAACAAACAAACACAGCTGTGGTGTAGAAATTTATCAGATTGCGGTAGGCTACTTTCAACAGAATTGTTTTACATATTTGCAAGATATTGGCGAGTTGCAGATTAGCCGAAAAATAATATCCGACATCATTGTGTGTAAAATGTGAAGATGTGAGAGAGAAACAAGACTTGCCAGAGTTACAGCTCCGAGAAACAGTAACGTTAATGACTCCAAGGAAAAAAACAGTGAGGTGACGTTACTAAACAAATCAAAACAACAGCACGAGTCTCTCCTGAGACCTCAGTCATCCCGAACGGACATTAACGAAACACACACACACACACACATATTCAAAACACTAAACATGAAGGAAAAGCTGAATTATATATATCCAGTCAGACGTTAGCCTAAGCTGTTTGCAGAGGTCATTAAAATAACACGTTTACGTTCTTCACTTGAACGGTGTTTTAAGGTGTAACGGTATTTTCACGATAGAAAAGCTCCACAAAGTAGAAGTCTTACCTCTAATGAAATGTGTGACTTGTATACAGCTTCTGTAAATCCCTGAGTGAGTGAGTGTCCGTCTACCTGCGCCTGCTGTTTTCTCTCCCTCTCTGTCGCCCGTGTGAGGATGGTTTTTTGCTGAGAGCCGGAGTGAACAGGTGGGGGTAGGAGTGACACACACACACCTCCTTTTCTCTCTGGAGAGGGAGAGAGTGGGCGGAATGAATGCGTGTAGTCACGGAGATGCTAAAAAGACTCATTAAACCATCGGATTCAGTCTCCGAGGCACCTGACCTGAACAACACAACAACTCACTTTGTGTCAACAGGAACATGTTTTGTTACATTCACAGCTAAATATTAGGGATAATAGCTGTGTGTGTATAGGCCTACTTATTCTGTACTCATGTTTTATTATTAACGGGAGTGTAATGGATTTGGAAATAGAAAGAGGAAATTATTAGATCACATGATGAAAGGAACAAAAGACTCACAAAACAACAAACTGATGTCATGTCACAATCCTGGCGCATCCCTTCTCTGATTTCAAGACAAGAAAATCAAGAGGAGGAATGCATAATCTACAAGATATCTTACACTCGCTTTAAAATTAGTGTTTGGTAAAGGGACCAACTTGAGTTGTGTAAAAAAAAGTTGTAATAGAAGATATGAAGGTACAAAAAATTGTGCTGTCAAATCAAAAGTTTATATATATATATATATATATATATATATATATATACTGCCCTACAAAGCAAAAAGGCAGTAACTGCAGTTTTGGTAAAGCATTAATTATTACAATTTTCATGACATTCAAGGCATCCTTTGTTATGTGACAAAACATCTTATCTTAAATACGTGTCGTTTTAGAGAAAAATGGTAGTCGTTTGTACAGTAACTGCAAAAAGCCCTAGTAAAAGTCATTTTTGTCAGTTCTGCACTCTGCGTAGTTACTGCCTTTTTGCTTTGTAGGGCAGTATATATATATACACACACACACACATTGTAAAACATATTGTTGGTTTAACTTAAAAAAATAAGTAACCTGGTTGCCTTAAAATTTTAAATTCATTGAAATGGAAAAATTGAGTTAATGTAATGAAGGAAATTGATTTAATCATCAGAAACTCAAAATATTTTGTTATCTGAACTACATACATTATCTAAGTTGATCTGACAAAAAGAAAAAATGTTGTGATTACAACTCATTAAAACATTTTTTTACAGTGATATATATATATAGGCTACATACACAAACTTTTATGTTAATGCTATTAATCGATTTGACAAAATGAAGAAAAGAAAAAGTTCAAAAGTTCAAAAGAAAAAGTGATAATTGGAAAGCGCAAAAACATATAGGCCTATTTTAAAATAAATTAAACAGTTCTTAGGAGGAAACTAAAAAATATTAACAATAAAGAAACTAAAAAAAGTTTGTTCCGAAGAAAAGAGGGTTTGAAAAGCACCAGAAAACGAACAAACAAACAAATAAATAAATAAAAGAGAGACCAGGAAAAGAAAAAGACCAGCAGAAGTCATTATCGCGTCGCGATACAGGTACATGACGTCATTGTCGCACCTGCAGACAAACCGGCATTTTCCCATCAAATTAAACCGCGTCATGTTGCTGGCAGCCTTAAATAAAGCTCAAGGCCGTGTGTGTACAGTAGTTATGACTCAGTGCCTTCATAACACTTCACACAAGGTCATTGTGCTTTTCAGTCACCCTTTAATCCGTTCATCCACTCCACCGAATCTTCCTCTCTTAATAAAACAGTGCAGGAACTTGAGAAATGTAGGAATAACATGATGTACAAATGACAAAAATTATCATTTACATCAAACCAAACAACAACACAAAGATATTCAAATGAATGTGAAAACAAGGGGAATTTTCTTTACATCTGAGAGTTGAAGTAGGCCTATTCAATTAACGCTTCCCTTTTCTCTGTTTAGTGGCATTTTCACCAATTACTCATCATTCATAACACTAACAGCATCACAAAGTTCACACTTACCATATATAATTAGCAGTACATTTCAAGTCCATGGGTCGTTTTTATCATTTTTACTGAATATTCACTCCAAGCAATGATCACTTTTATATTTGGGCACATTTCTCTTTATTTCATGCAGAAAAGTAAACCAGTTGTAAGTTAATAAGGAGAAAATGTATATGCTGTACTGGAAATGGCAGTTTTCGTGCTGTCCGAAGTCAAGTTTTGCCTTTCAAATTAACACTGCACAACCAACGAAGACCCATTGTATCTTAATTGATCTGTTAAAATATAAGATGATAAATAATAACATGACTAGGAATATTTCAGGCTGTTTCCTTACAAAAGTCTTTCAAAATGTGGATTGGACAAGACGATGTAAAGTAACGGGTTTAATGAAGCAGTGGTTTTCTGCAAGGTACAGCAGACGGAGGTTAATTATATCACCCTGATTGTATGATTAAGAAAAACACAAAAACAGATGTAAACATTAATATGTTTGTCCATGCAGTGTCAGCAGAAGTAGTTTTGTTTTCCTGTGTCCAGCACGGGAAAGAGAAATACACTTTTGACAGATTACAAAACATTGTTTTGATTCTCTCGATCAATGTCTCTCTTGTGTTTTGCCGGTCCATTTGTCCTCTATTCGATTATTAATCAAGCAGGTCCTCATTGTTTTAAATCTTCTGCACATACGAATGAGTTTTTTCTCTCTCATGTCGACTGTTTGTCTGGATGGCTTTTGAGTTTGTGGAACTTGACGCTGTCGAGTTTCTCGAAGCGTTTGCCGCAGTGTTCGCACGTGTAGTTGAAGTGGGCTTCAGACGTGTGTTTCCTCATGTGCCAGTTGAGTGACGCTCGCTGTCGACACTGGTACCCACATATCTCGCATCTGTAGGAACAGGTTCAAGAAAAAACACTTTCCTTGTAAGTAACCATGTCCAGTATGACATGACGCTTATTAAAGGCGCAGTTCACTTTTAAAAAAACCTTTTGCTGATAATTTACTCGCCCCCATGTCATCTAAGATGTCCATGTCATTCTTTCTTCAGTCGAAAAGAAATTAAGGTTTTTGATGAAAACATTCCAGGATTTTTCTCCATATAATGGACTTCAATGGGAACCAAACGGTTCAAGGTCCAAAAGACAGTTTCAGTGCAAACTGCAAACTGTTCAAAGGGCTTTAAATGATTCCAGACGATGAATGAGGGTCTTATCAAGCGAAACGATCGCTCATTTAAAGAAATAAATAACAAAGTTTAAGTTTTATAAGCTCAAATGCTCGCCTTGCTCTGTTCTGTGATGCACGTTCGTGACTCTCCTGTCCAAACTCGTTCATCAAAATGAACAAATCTTTTTCTGAGTCAATTCGTTCATTTCGTTCGTTGAATCAACCAAATGACTCGAAAAAAGATTCGTTCATTTTGATGAACGAGTTCGAACAGGAGAGTCACGAACGCGCATCACAGAACAGAGCAAGGCGAGCATTTGTGCTTATAAAACTTAAACTTTGGTATCTATTTATTAAATGACCGATCGTTTCGCTTGATTAGACCCTTATTCATCGTCTGGAATCGTTTAAAGCCCTTTGAACAGTTTGCACTGAAAGTGTCTTTTGGACCTTGAACTGTTTGGTTCCCATTAAAGTCCATTATATGGAGAAAAATCCAGGAATGTTTTCATCAAAAACCTTAATTTCTTTTCGATTGATATTCATATCGATTCATATCTTGGATGACATGGGGTTGAGTAAATTATCAGCAAACGTTTTCTTTAAAAGTGAACTACTCCTTTAAATGGCTATATGAATCAATTCTTTCTGTGAACTCACTGTAACGGCGTCTCTCCCGTGTGTGTTCGTCTGTGCACCTCTAGATGATTTTTGCGTTTGAACGACTTTCCGCAAGTCTCACAGATAAAGTCTCGTACACCTGAAAGAAAGTAAATATGTTTTTGATTACTGATAAATATCATTAGTTGATCTATTTAACCTCTGTGCTGTGTTGAAAATCCTTTACCTAATTTAGTCTTAAGGGTCAAAAATGACCCACCATTTACATTTATTCATTTAGCTGACGCTTTTATCCAAAGCGACTTACAATTGCTATATATGTCAGAGGTCGCACACCTCTGGAGCAACTATGCTCAGGGACGCATTGTCTCACAGTGGATTCGAACCCGGGTCTCTCACACCAAAGGCATGTGTCTTATCCACTGCGCCATTTAAATTGAGTATTAACCTCTTGTTATGATATCTTATTGATTCAATATTTTTGTCCACTTGTTTTCTTATTAGTGAGGACAGGTTTTGTATTATTTTTTGGCTCTGACTGACCGTAGCTTATGCACCTCAGTGTTTGAGAGAAAAGAAGTTCACGCAAGCTTATTCGCCTAAAAAAGGTGCATGCTCAGATCAACAATACCAATCAGATTTAAAAACAAATATCAGTTAACTTTGACAACCATAAAATACTAAGAGGCCATTTACATAACTAAAACCGGAAAACTTTGTGTGTTTTGGCCGTTCATTTACACGACAATGGTGTTTTGGGGCCGTAAAAAACGTTCGTAAACGAGTTTCAAAGTGCAAGTTTTTGAAAATGGATGCATTATTGTCTTCATGTAAAATACAAAAACGTGAATCTGTGAAAATGGTGACGTCATGCATGCACATTTGGATCACGTGTTCAGTCTATTAGTGTTTCTTTACAAAGTCACATCGCCATCTACTGGCCTGGCATGAATAATGCAGTCTTTTTAGTCGTTTTCTCGGAACCATGTGATCGTTGTGACAATATTGTCATCTGTACTCAAAAACACAAACGAAAACCTTTTCCGTTTTAACTACAAACCCAATTCCATAAAAGTTGGGACACTGTACAAATTGTGAATAAAAACAGAATGCAATGATGTGGAAGTTTCAAATTTCAATATTATATTTAGAATACAACATAGATGACATATCAAATGTTTAAACTGAGAAAATGCATAATTTTAAGGGAAAAATAAGTTGATTTTAAATTTCATGGCATCAACACATCTCAAAAAAGTTGGGACAAGGCCATTTTTACCACTGTGTGGCATCCCCTCTTCTTTTAATAACAGTCTGCAAACGTCTGGGGACTGAGGAGTCAAGTTGCTCAAGTTTAGGAATAGGAATGTTGTCCCATTCTTGTCTAATAAAGGCTTCTAGCTGCTCAACTGTCTTAGGTCTTCTTTGTTGCATCTTCCTCTTTATGATGCGCCAAATGTTTTCTATGGGTGAAAGATCTGGACTGCAGGCTGGCCATTTCAGTACCCGGATCCTTCTTCTACGCAGCCATGATGTTGTAATTGATGCAGTATGTGGTTTGGCATTGTCTTGTTGGAAAATACAATTTTCAATTCCCTGAAAGAGACGATGTCTGGATGGGAGCATATGTTGTTCTAGAACTTGGATGTACCTTTCAGCATTGATGGTGCCTTTCCAGATGTGTAAGCTGCCCATGCCACACGCACTCATGCAACCCCATACCATCAGAGATGCAGGCTTCTGAACTGAGCGCTGATAACAACTTGGGTTGTCCTTGTCCTCTTTAGTCCGGATGACATGGCGTCCCAGTTTTCCAAAAAGAACTTCAAATTTTGATTCGTCTGACCACAGAACAGTTTTCCACTTTGCTAGAGTCCACTTTAAATGAGCCTTGGCCCAGAGAAAACGCCTGCGCTTCTGGTTCCCGTTTAGATATGGCTTCTTTTTTGACCTATAGAGCTTTAGCCGGCAACGGTGAATGGCACGGTGGATTGTGTTCACTGACAATGTTTTCTGGAAGTATTCTTGAGCCCATGTTGTGATTTCCATTACAGTAGCATTCCTGTGTGTGATGCAGTGCCGTCTAAGGGCCCGAAGATCACAGGCATTCAGTATGGTTTTCCGGCCTTGACCCTTACGCACAGAGATTGTTCCAGATTCTCTGAATCTTTGGATGATATTATGCACTGTAGATGATGATAACTTCAAACTCTGTGCAATTTTTCTCTGAGAAACTCCTTTCTGATATTGCTCCACTATTTTTTGCCTCAGCATTGGGGGAATTGGTGATCCTCTGCCCATCTTGACTTCTGAGAGACACTGCCACTCTGAGAGGCTCTTTTTATACCCAATCATGTTGCCAATTGACCTAATAAGTTGAAAATTGGTCCTCCAGCAATTCCTTATATGTACATTTAACTTTTCTGGCCTCTTATTGCTACCTGTCCCAACTTTTTTGGAATTTGTAGCTTTCATGAAATCCAAAAGGAGCCAATATTTGGCATGGCAATTCAAAATGTCTCACTTTCAATATTTGATATGTCATCTATGTTGTATTCTAAATATAATATTGAAATTTGAAACTTCCACATCATTGCATTCTGTTTTTATTCACAATTTGTACAGTGTCCCAACTTTTATGGAATTGGGTTTGTACATCGTAGTCGTGTAAACGTACCCTAAAGCTAAATATATTGAAAAACTAAAAATAGAAATCACTAAACCTAAACTAAAACTACAAGAGAATATAAATAACCAATGCTAGTAAGTAAATTGAAGAGGACAAACTGCACATACGAACTTTAGTTATCTCATTATAAGATGTGAACAATTATAGGAGTTAGTTTAGGGATTAACAGAGTAAAGAGCATCACAAGCACAAATGATACCCGATGCCTGTACCTGAGTGTATGATCATGTGCCGATGAAGATGGTTAGACAGATAAAACTTCTTCCCGCACCCTGGGTGAGGACAGACTTTGGTCCGGCCCTTCCTGTGCACCAGGTTCACATGATTCTGCCCAACGTGCATCAGAAACACATTGAAATCATGATCCATCTTGCAGCCAGAAGCAGAAAGTGCGATTTTTTCCCAGTACTTTACAAATACTGTTCATCCAACACAATGCTTACCCACATTTGTAATATGCATTTATTATCAATGCGATTAATCTGATGTGCCAAACATTAACAATCTCAATAAATATTTAGCAGAATTACATCCCAGCGTCCACAATATTTAACCCGTCCTGTGCGAAAGGAAAGTGTATTGTATTTCCTGTTGCTAAGGTCCACTGAACAATTAGAGAGTCTCCTTTGTGATGAACAATAAAACAGACAAAGCAGGTTTACGTCAATTCATTTCACAGGGTATATCATTTCCAGTGTCTATTTGTATCTGTTTGCGTTGTGACATTGGGATTCTCTAAAGACACACAAGCTCACCTGGAAACTGCTAATGGCCACGTACACCTGACTGCAGCCTTCATACGGACAGTGGAACATCTTCAGCATGCCGTCTGCCTCGATTACCGGACCCCGCCGGCTCCTCTTAGACCTGACACACAAACACACACCACTGACATGACATCAAATCACGTTTCAAACACTTCATGAATCCGGATACGCTTCAATTCATTTCATAGAGCATGACATTATGGCTGTGTCTACATTTGAAAGTGCATATTTTTCTCAAGTTTCGGGCGATCACACCATGATGAAAACTGAGCTATTTGAAGACGCTCTTGCAAGTGAATAGATCTGAAAACGCCTTATTCGTGAAACTGATTTGAAAGTATTTATGCAAGTAAAAACTTTATTGTCACTTAGTCAAAAGTACAAGTGAAATTAGCTATCAACCTGTCCATACAAACAAACATACGATATGACAAGGGGTAAACAGGACAGGAAGACAGGGAATTGAGAAAACACAGCGGAGACCCCCCGACTATGCTCCTGTAAGGAGTGCAACATTTGAAAACAATAACATGTTGTGTCACATGATGCATATTTTACCCATAGACATCATGTGCCATTTATTTTCACAGTGCTGTTGTTAAAGATAGGTTACTTTGAGTTTGAACGATCTTCATATTGCATTCCTGCAAAGATGACAGAAAAGTTGCTCGCAATTGCTGTCCTGTGGCAAAACATGAGGGCAATTGCTGATAATTTACTCACCCCCATGTCATCCAAGATGTCCAAGTCTTTCTTTCTTCAGTCGAAAAGAAATGAAGGTTTTTGATGAAAACATTCCAGGATTTTCTCCATATAATTACTGGTAACCAAACGGTTCAAGGTCCAAAATGAACGAATCTTTTTCAGAGTCAATTTGTTCATTTCGTTCATTGAATCAACCAAATGACTCGAAAAAAGACTCGTTCACTTTTATAAACGACTTTGAACAGGAGAGTCACGAACGCTCACCACAGAACAGAGCAAGGCGAGCATTTGAGCTTATAAAACTTAAACTTTGTTTAAACCAATCGTTTCGCTTTATAAGACGCTTATTCATCGTCTGGAATCGTTTAAAGCCCTTTGAACAGTTTGCAGTTTGCACTGAAAGTGTATTTTGGACCTTGAACCGTTTGGTTCCCATTGAAGTCCATTATATGGAGAAAAATCCTGGAATGTTTTCATCAAAAACCTTCATTTCTTTTCAACTGAAGAAAGAAAGACATGGACATCTTGGATTACATGGGGGTCAGTAAATTATCAGCAAAAGTTTTTTTTAAAAGTGAACTACTCCTTGAACATAAAAATAACTTCAGCAATGCTTGATTCACATTATATTATCAAGTGTGCCATTATCTATCTTTTTTCAATTATGTTTTAGACCAATCATGGAATGGCGATTTAGTTTGACCCGATCGCACCAGTAAGTATTGAGATATTTTGCTAATAAAATGATTGTGCCAGATGAAAAGTGCGAGACCATTATCATGTCTGCTCTCTCGGTCATCGTGTCACTGAGCTTTTATTACATTTTACGCATATGAATCTTTAAAGTGTGAACTAGAAACTTGACAAATGAAAACAATGTTTTCAAACATGTCCAGAATAACGCATGAAACACGTCGAGCGATAGCATTTATGAGAAGTTTGCAGTCCGCTGGTAAATAATAAAGCACACTCTTTGATCTTTTAATGCATTAACAATGATTATAATGAGTATTGTTTACCGTCAAAAGAAGCATAATAGCCATGTCTTCTAAGCTAATCAATATCCATATTTTAGGTTAGAGGTGTATTAAAATGGGTCATGTATGAACCCAACCCTACAATAAAATGCTGAAGACTCCCTTCACATAATTTCTTATTATAAGGAGTTGTTTAAATTCTTGGAATTTAGGCATGTAAACAAAGGTGTAACTATAACGGTTAAGGCGTGTACAAAATTATGAAATTATGACAAACCCAATATTTGGAGTCAATATGCACTGCCGTTCAAAACGATTATTTTTAATGTTTCTGAAAGAGGTATCATGCTCATCATGACTGTATTTCTTTGATCAAAAATACAGTAAAAACATTAAAGGGATAGTTCACTTTGAAATCAATTTTGATATTTTTAGGTCAAACCGCTCTTCACGTGACTCTGGTTACAAGAGGTAAAAACGATATAAATACTGTTCGTTTTCTCACACAAACCGCTCGTTTGGTGTCTTAGGCCATCAACGTGTACTTACATTTACGAGTCATTAAATCATGTTTAATTTGGACTTCTCTGTGCATGCTCTTTGAGGTGGTGACCATAGACCTCCATTATATGACTGACAGACAAGAACGGTTTGACCTAAAAATATCAAAATTGAAAATGCTGTGGAAACAAAGACACCTACATCTTGGATGCCCTTGAGGTAAGCTAAAACATACCAAAAATTAATTTCAAAGTGAACTATCCCTTTAATGGTGTTCTTGCTGCTCGAGATACAAATATTAGTATTATCAATATTTAAGACAAGTCTGCTGCTATACGTTTTAATATCTTCATATCTTAAAGATCTTAAGGACCAGACAAAAAACAAGTTGTGTATGAATGTATTAATAGTGACTACTGTGCCAAGACTTGACTAACCTACTGAGAGATTGCTGAAGCTTCTTCGAACAGTGTGTTTCTTCACCGGGATCTAACAACTGCTTCTCTCCCAGATCTGAAACCATTACACATCAACAGATAATATTGCTATTTTGAAGATCAAAACCCTTAAAATAGCTTATATTACTCACACTGGTTAAACTGACACTGAACTCATAAGGAAGTAGTTAAACTGGAAACACACACATTGCTAGAACACAATGATTGTCTTATGAGTCAGGTTTAAGAGCTGAAATACAGGACAGATCAGCGGTTGATGAACACGATCGGACAGAAACCTGAGTCTATGTTGGGATGTGTCGTTGCTTCTGACTGGCAGTAGGACATATCTCCGATCAGAGTACATGTGACCTCCTCGACATCACCGCTGCCCACGTTCAGCTGAATGCCTTCGGACGTCAGAGCCTCGTAACTGGGACCTGTAATTATGATCAACTGCGGGAGGGACAAATAGAGTAGAGGTGAAGTCATCAAAGAGTTCATCAAAGTCTAAGAAAAGAGTCCATTACAAAAATCGTATTGTGTATGACAGGGGGAAAAAGTCATACGTCAAAAAAAAACAAAAATAAAAAAAAGTAAAAAAAAAAAACCCTGTTGTCTTGGCAACAACGTGCAGTTGAGGAAAAAAAAAAGAAGACATACTTTGAGTTTTTTTTTTTTGCTTTATCAGAATGGGATGACACTTAGTGACTTTTGTTGTATTAGTTATATGTGAACACACACAAGAAAACCTTGGACATGATTCGGATATGTTAAAGGGTCGTAAAAAAAGCCGCACTTTTTTAAAAAAGCTCCTTCGCTGTCAAAAATAGGAAATTGGAAAAAAGTAGTCTTTTAGAACTTCTAAATATATATCTAAATAAAAAAAACAGATAAAATGGAGAAATAATGTCTTAAAAAACGATGGGAATCAAAAAGCCTCTCTATGTATCTATATAGGGCGCTATATGGCCTTATGCACAGCTGCACTACTTCCTGAACTTAAGCCAGCTCCTTGTTTCCTGTCTGCCATTATTGGTCAAATTTATTAATTCAGGTGTACCTGACCTCAGTAGACACGGCAAAAATAATCAGGCACACCTGAATTAATCAAGTTTGGCCAATAATGGCAGACAGGAAACAAGGAGCTGGCTGAAGGTCAGTGCAGCTGTGCATGAAGCCTACAGGCGGTTACACGACATTACACACGTGTGCCACTGGATGGCGCTTTTCTCACTTTAACATTTTTTCAAAATAGACCTGCACTCTATTTTAATTAAAAAATAAATAAATAAACCTTTAAAAATTCTAAATAATAATAATTAAAAAATATTATTCAGCAAAAATATATTACATAGGTTTTCCTTGGGGAAAAAAAAGTTAAATTTCAAGGCTTGGGCCTCTTTTGGCTTTTTGGCTGGGAAGATCGATCAATCAATCAATCAATCAATCTATCTATCTATCTATCTATCTATCTATCTATCTATCTATCTATCTATCTATCTATCTATCTATCTATCTATCTATCTATCATTAAAAATTGAAGATACGGTTTAGCCTATTTTACTCATTTTATAAGTGCGATTTATGTATTACAGAAAAGATACTGGAAAATATTTTTTACATTTAAATCAGAAGGAACTACAAGAACTATATAAAAAAAAGGTATTACTACTTTTCTCATTTTTAATAATTAAAAAAAAACCCAGAAATAAACATTCAAATCAATTTATATAAGCATTAATATATTATATTTATAATAAGTCATTAAGAAAAATCATTGAAAAAAATATCCAGAATAAGAATTCAATAACTGAATGCTCTTCAACGTTTACACATTAAAATTACTTTTCTAGTTGTTTGCGATTAGAGCGTTTTTTTTTTTACACTTATCATTTTAAAATCATATTTTGTCTTATTTTAAATAATTCTAAGTCATCTTATGATCCCATTGTGCAGTGGTTCTCAACCTTTTTGACTCAAAGCCCCCCCAATATAAAGTATATGCGAGACGCCCATAAAAAAACAAGTGTTTTTCAGCTAGGCTCAAAACTAGGGTACAAAATAGCCTATTACTTATTCATTTTGATGTTTTTGAATGCAAAAGCGAACGTCATAAGTTGACCTCAGACAAAAATATACATTTTTTTAAAAAGCCAGTTCATGACCCTTTTAATAAAAATTGTATTAAGCCATCCTCCGAACATGATGGTTTGCTGAGGCCCCCGTTGGGCCGCGAACCACTGCCCTAGTGGGTCTCTTGTGAGCCCTTTGACCTACTTGAGATCCTTCCAGTGTGGAGTGCTGGTCCGGGAGCTCACACTCGCCCATCACCGTCTGCAGATCCTGCCGCTCGAATAGTTCGCTCTGTGCCGAGGCGGCCGTCAACGACTCTTCCACACCTTTTCCAGAACCATCGTCTCCATCCTCCCTCTCCCGCCCGTCCGTCAAGGGCGGCGTGACAACCATGCATTCATATCTCTCCTCCGAGCCCCCTCCACCTTTTCCCTCATTTTCTAATGTTCCCGAATGGTCCGCCTGCTCCGTGACAGGGTCCGCCTTTCTCGCCACATCCCGATCCGAGGCTTTTCCATCGGCTTCTCGGTTCATGAGCACCTCCATCTCCCACACGGCCTGGTCTCCCAGACACTGCTCCGAGGCGGGAGGACTGCTGTGGGCCGCAGGGGATCCTGGGAGATCACTGAGGGATGTGCATGTCATCTGATGCTCCATTTGGGATGCATGTTCATCGTCGTCTTCCAACTCATTGACTGTATCTGATTAAGATTAAGAAGAGAATCACTGTTCAATGTTAAATCCCATATGACTGCATTGTGAGTTTATTCAATAATAAAAAAAACATCCTGTGAGTCTCATAGTTTAAAACATCCTCTTCATTATAAACAAAAATATGCATTTAATCAAGCTTCAGAAAAAGCTCGTTTTGATATTGGATGACCTGTGACATCACACATGCAAATACATTTACATATGACCAAATTATATCATAGCGTTTTGTCTGTAAATCATGGTTTTCTATGGATAAGTTGAACAGGAACTCAATTATGTGTGCTTGGTTGACTTGGTTGCATACTTTCACACACTCCCAAGTTTACAGCATTATGAGTAAATAGAATTAAAAAAATATCAAATATTTTATCTGTTAATTTCCATGTGACCATTAAAAGAGTAGTTCACTTTTTAAAAAAAAACTTTTGCTGATAATTTACTCACCCCCATGTCATCCAAGATGTCCATGTCTTTCTTTCTTCAGTCGAAAAGAAATGAAGGTTTTTATGAAAACTTTCCAGGATTTTTCTCCATATAATGGACTTCAATGGGAACCAAATGGTTCAAGGTCCAAAAGACACTTTCAGTGCAGCTTCAAAGGGCTATACCAGACGATACCAACGATTCATCAAAACGAACAAATCTTTTTTTGAGTCATTTGGTTGATTCAACGAACGAAATGAACAAAATGACTCGAAAAAAGATTTGTTCATTTTTGATGAACGAGTTTGAACAGGAGAGTCGTGAACGCCCATCACGGAACAGAGCAAGGCGAGTATTTGAGCTTGTAAAACTTAAACTTTTTTATTTATGTATTAAATGAGCGATCGTTTCGCTTGATAAGACCCTTATTCATCGTCTGGTGTCGATGTTTGCACTGAAACTCTCATTAGGACCTTGAATCGTTTGGACCCCATTGAAGTCCATTATATGGAGAAAAATCCTGGAATGTTTTCATCAAAAACCTTCATTTCTTTTCGACTGAAGAAAGAAAGACATGGACATCTTGGATGACATGGGGGTGAGTAAATTATCAGCAAAAGTTTTTTTTAAAAGTGCTGTCATTAGAGAACAGTGAACATGAGATTATGTAGTTACATTATTGAAATATGAACCTTGAAATCTTCCTTATTTCACATCTAGGTGGTTTGACTGGTTTCAGTATGCTCCCAAACCCTTTTTTTTGTCAGTTTAAGATGCCCATACCCCGCAGCTGCCCGTGGTCTTGTAGTGTCCCTCTCTCAGTGTCGGCAGCTTTCTTCTCTGGAGGCCTGTCCTCCTCATCCTTCTCCATCACACTGTCCTCCAGGTCTGACTCAGACTCTCCTCCTGCTGGCCAGGGCAGGCACTGCACAAACGAGTGACCCGCCTCACACTGCCACAGTGCAGACGTAGATAAGCCCAGAGTGGGCTCCAGCGCCTGCAGCTCAGGCTCATGTGGGCAGGACTGGCAGTGGCACTGGTACCAGCTCACCACGTCCTGCAGGCTGGTGGCCGACACCTTCTTCCCTGAGAGGAGAAACAGTCTCATCTTACTCGCTCGCAGAGACTAAACAACATTGCTTCTCCTTAAAAAATAAATTCATACTTTTATTCAGAAAGGACGCATTAAATCGATCAAATGTGACAGTAAAGACAGTCAAAGTTTTTATTTAAAATAAATGCTTTTGAACTTTCTATTCATTAAAGATTCCTGAAAAAATGCATCTTGATTTCCACAAAAATATTAAGCATAAATGTTATGAATAATAAGAAATATATATATATATATATATATATATATATATATATATATATATATATATATATATATATATAAACATTTCTGCTTATTATAACATATATATATATATATATATATACAAATCAAATCATCATATTAGAATAATTTCTGAAGGATCATGTGTCACTGAAAATGCTGAAAATTCAGCTTTACCATCATAGGATAAATGACATTTACAATATATTCAAACAGAAAACATATTTTGCAATTTGATCGTAATTTTTAATTATTTTAAATCATACCAAGCCCAAATATTTAAATGGTAGTATACAGTGTCCAAAAGATTGGATATAGGAATTGGGTTTTTAAAGACCTTACAAGATTGATTCAACAATCAAAATATTAGAAAAATATTTTATATTTTTAAATATTTAAAATATATGAGGGAAGTACGTGACCAAGGTTAATTATTATATGAAAAAATTATTTGGCAAAAAAAAGGCAAACTACATTTGTAAAAAATGTTTATAAAAAGGTTTAAAAAAAAAAAACAAGTGAAAAAAATAAATAAGCTTTTTTTTTCTAATTTTACTCTGCAAAAAGCTCACAGGAAAAAGCATACATCAACTCCAACATAACCAGTTATGAATATTTCATTGGTTCTCTCTTGTTTTTGCAGCGTTTGCACAAATTTGCATGCGTCTTGGTATTATTTTCAATTATTGACTTCAAGGCTCCAAGCAACAACTATACAATATGCTTACAAAATCTTTTTAAATAATATTTTAATAAAATTAAAATTTTAAATAAATAGATTTTCCTAGGTCAGACATCCCTTCTGGCCACTACAGTATATTGCGAGAGGCTTGGGAAACACTACAAATGAAAAAAGTGTACCTGTCAATAGATGAAACTGATATACTGCATATTTAATATTACTCACCTTTCCTGTGACTGCTGCATTGTTCAGGAATGGATTTCCTCCTGTCCATCAGAACACACGAGACATGTTTACACCATCCACGTTAAAGAGAAAAGCTACATGAAGGTTCAAGCTAACCAGTGGTGCCTGTCTCTGGTTCCCATCCACTTTCATTGTATTAATGAAAGGCCAAGTCAAGCACACTGCATTGTGGAATACATTCATGAGTATAAGTAATGCATATGGAAATGTGCACTAAATTATAACCATATTCATGTCAATCAACCTTACCACTTGTTTGCAACATACTCCAAGATGCTTCAAGACGCTACAATGGTGCTATTATAGTACAGATTTCCATATATAGCATACTATACTATAGTATTGTAGTATACCAAATAGTAGAGTATTGTGTTTTTCCAGGAAAACATGTCAATAAATAACATGACACTGCTGGGTCCTTTTTAGTTTAGAGAAATAACGTTACATGTAGAGCCTAATCAATGGCAGATTAAGGTTAACAAAGATCACTTGGAAGATACAGTAGTATCAGACAAGAGTACTGTAGTAACGTTAGATGTGCACAAGTTACAGCCCACACGCATGCATGAATGAATGAATTTATTGGACAGCCAGCTGAATTGCAATGCTACCTTTAATCAACTTATTGATTTTGAGTGTTGCAAGATCAAATATGGCTTTTATGGGTCACTTATCAACTCTGAGTACCCACCTGCCGTATTTCTGCTGGTATTTTTCTCCATATGCCGAATTGAGCAGGATTAAATACTCCGCGAGCCCAGCGTCGCTCAGGCTCGTGCGCCGGCGCAGCTCGCTCCACACCTGGTGTGCTTCTCCCAGATAAACGCGCCGCACGTCGTACTTCTTCCGCGATTCCAGTCGCCGCTGCGCCCGGTCCGCGTCCGTCAGCCGGGGGCGACCTCTGCAGCGGCGCAAAATGGCTTTAATCTGCTCTCCGGTGGCTTTCGAGTCGGTGTTTACCGCCGCCATGTTTTGTATCAGCTGTTGAGTTGTTATGTTTTGTCTTAAAGGGAAGTGCTGTGTGTAGCCTTAAAGGAAGTGGATTTTTTTTTTGCATTTTATTTTATAACTTAGTTTTTTTTTCATTAGATTATTATTTTGTAGATGAATCATGCGTGTTATTTACGATAAAATATATATTTTTTGAAATTAAGGTAAAGATAATTTAATTTCTATTTGATTCGACACATTGGTTTGACCAATCAACCGTGAGCTCTCTTTTATGTAAGCCAATCAGATGCGTCGTTCCAACAGAAGGTAGAGGAACGTTAAATTCGCGGGAGAAGATGATGATGCATGTTACTTTCACGTAGTTGCTGGTGTAGATAACGAGTCATACTTTTACATTCAAATTAATAAATGCTAATAGCAGTCATTTTACTGATATGGCTGATATTTTGGGAGTCGTTTTCAGACGGTTTGCACCAGGAACTGGAACGAGTGATTTGGTTTTTCCCTCTCGTGTAGAAGGCAACACGTTAGTGCTCGGGGACGTCAACATCAGGAGATCTGTGTTATTCCTCTCCGCCGTGACTGCTGCCTCAGATCTGGGGCTCAAAGTGCTGTTTTTTACACAGACCCCTTTTCAGTCTCTACCCGTTTCTGTGAGGGATTCAGTACCTGGACTAAAACTAGACAGTTTGAAGGTAATAATAATGAGCGACAAGATAATTAAATGAATAAGTTAGTTCACACACAAAAAAACAAAAAACAACTTTTTCTGATAATTTACTCACGCCCATGTCATCCAAGTCAAGATGTCCATGTCTTTCTTTCTTCAGTCGAAAAGAAATGAAGGTTTTTGATGAAAACATTCCAGGATTTTTCTCCATATAATGGACTTCAATGGGGTCCAAACGGGTCAAGGTCCAAATGAGAGTTTCATTGCAGCTTCAAAGGGCTTTAAACGACACCAGACGATGAATAAGGGTCTTATCTAGTGAAACGATCGCTCATTTAAAAAATAAATAAAACTTTAAGTTTTATAAGCTCAAATGCTCGCCTTGCTCTGTTCAGTGATGCGCGTTCGTGACTCTCCTGTTCGAACTCGTTCATCAACATGAACAAATCTTTTTTCGAGTCATTACGTTCATTTTGTTGGTTGAATGAACCAAATGACTCGAAAAAAGATTTGTTCATTTTGATCTTGAACCGTTTAGCACCCAATTAAATCCATTATATGGAGAAAAATCCTGGAATGTTTTCATCAAAAACCTTGACTGAAGAAAGAAAGAAGTAAATTATCAGCAAAAGTTTTTTCAAAAGTGAACTACTCCGTTAATACAATGTCTTCACAATGTTTAATTAATTAATAATACAAATGTCTACCAAATATAATGCGTTTTCATGCATCTTCTCTTCCAGAATGTGAAGTTTGTGTATGTGAAGACTTTGGAGGAGCTGGTTGAGGATGTGGCGTCCCTTCACGAGCTGGCGTCCGATGCCGCGTCTCCTCCATCCCTGATCATCGTGGACGGTCTGGAGAGGTATTTGCAAGGGCCGCTGCAGGACGACCCGGGCCCTGTGGCTCGCGTGGCGGCCCTCCTGCACGACACCGCTGCTTTTCTCACGCAGATCCTGCAGAACAGAGCGGACGGCCAGGGCCTGTGCAGGGTCATGCTCTCCTTTCAGAGTGAGTGTGAAGGCAGTCGGGACAGTGAAGTCCCGGATCTTCTCCTCTCTGTTCTGGACCGTTACCTGCAGGTGAGGTGCACCTTTGAGGAAATGGCGGGGCAGAATGAGTGGCAGGTGTATCTGTCAGACACGAGTCCTTCGTCGGCCCATCAGGGACAGCAGTGGCACGTGGGGCTGCAGGCAGGAGGGGTTCTGGAGTTTCGTCCAGTTATCGGTGAGGAACAGCAGATTCTGGACCAGCGGGACAAGAGCAAACAGGGAAATGAGAGCAAATAAATGTTCATATTACAATATAACCAATTTTTATTTCTCAGTTCGACCAGCTATACTTGATTTATAGGAATGTTAGTGTTTACTTTAGTGTAAATTTGACAATGCAATATAAATGTTGACTAAATACAGATATTTAACCATACTGGCAGAATTTATAAAGTATTGACAATGTAGAAATTACATTTGAATGGCAACTTTTTATTTATTTACAGACTGTGATTTACTTTTGATTACATTGCATTTAATAAACACTCTTGCATTAACTAAAACCCCCCAAAAAACAGATTAGAGAACAGTTGTTTACATTAAATATATATATATATATAATGTAATAAACAACCATTTTCTAATCTCTATCCTAACTCTTCTATACATGTCATATCCTACGTATCCACACACACACACACACACACACACACATATATATATATATATATATATGTGGATACGTAGGACACACTAACCAAAATCAGTCTATTTTACCCTTTCTCCCCTAATTTAACATGAGTTACATTTAATTATCTGCAAATGCTCTCAGATTGTTTAAAAAAAACCTACAATTACAAAACCAACAATTAAATAGATAGTTCAGATAAAAATAATTTACTCACCTTCGTTACAAACCCTTCTTTCTTCTGTTGAACATAAAAGAATATGATTTTCAGTGTTATCAAAGTCTCAATATTATTTTTCCCCATACAATGGAAGCCAATGGTCACCAAAATGGTTTGGTAACCAACATTCTTATATCTTATGTGTCATATATCTTAAGTATCTTATGTGTTGCACATATTTAATTTCTGGTGAACTATCCCATGAAATGCATTAATTTAGATGGAGAACAGGAAATACATAACAAGTGTGTAGATGGGAATTCCATGGAAGAGATCCCGTCGGTTTACGCAACAAATAACATTCCTTTTCATTGAAAAAATAGGAGCTTTATTGCTGATAGAAAAAGTGGAAGACAAACTGTTATTTAGAAAGTGATTACTAGGCTTTCAATCTTATTGCCAATGCTATAATGAAATAAAACAACACTCAGTGGTCGTAACATTGTATAGACAGGACTGCATGTGAAAAGAAAAAGTCTGAAATAACTTCTTATCTACACTCGTTAAAAAATAAAGGTTCCTCAGTGGCTAACATAAATGTAATCTTTCAACTGAATAAAAGGCTCTTTAGATTATTAAAATGTTTTTTTAAGAACTGTTTAAAGTTGCATCACAGTAAAAAAAAAACCCACTTTTAGGGCCTTTCTTTTTAAAAGTGTAGTTTTTATACTGCATATTAACAATTCATCTCGGTTAACTCATTGTTTACAAATTCAAAATATTTGGTTTAACATTACAGAATATAGAACACAAACAAACTAAACTGCTATTATAAGTAAAAGGTTTCTGTACAGTAATTTGACCGTACTGCATATCACAAACACTGGACTTTCTAAATACATGTTCCTGGTTTTGTTGTGAACGAGTCACCGGTGAATATTATTCAACAGAACTGAAAAATGTCTAATATTTTTTGAGTACAAAGTGTTTTCTTTCTTCAGTTAATGTCACCAAAGTTGGTTGTTTGCTCATGGTGCTTCAGGAAGGGTGTAGTCCCCCATTATCAACTGCAAACGCCCACTGTTCACGATCTAATCTAGTCTGTCTGCTTCAGTTACCTTACACCAGGGATAGGCAACTTCGGTCCTGGAAGGTCACTGTCCTGCAGAGTTTAGCTTCAGCCCTGATAAAAAAACCTCACCTGCCTGTATCTATCTAATCCTGAAAACATTGATTGCCTTGTTCAGGTGTGTTTAATTAGGGTTGGAGCTAAACTCTGCAGGACAGTGGCCCTCCAGGACCGAAGTTGCCTATCCCTGCCTTACACTGTTCCACTCAGAAATGCCACAATAGGAGAGTCAAATGTGTTGCAAATGTCGACAATGAGAAATGGTCAACCATACAAGCATTCCCAGAATGCACCAGAAGAACTATCCAAATGCAAACACATCATCTAAGGACATAAAGCTTTATGGATGGATGGATGGATTATCCTTCAAATAACTCAATGTCCTACACTAGGTTTAATGTTTTACAGATCCAAAATAAACATATTACTATAACTTATACACAAAAACAGTAAAAAAGTGGTATTTACATTCATATATATATAATACGTGTACAATTTGACATATTTAGACTTGAGAAACCCAAAACAGAATGACATGTGAGCTGCAAATCAGGCACTTTCCACAAAGAGGGTAAAAAATAGGTTTGTTTGTTTATATTTACATCATTGTTTCAAATGTGTGATCAATTATGATAATCAAGCTCAGGGGGGTAAAACATCATTTGTTTTACATTTGTTTTACATTTATTTTATGTAAAGTTTGCAATTCTGTTACAAACATTTGGCGAAGTCTGAATATACAAAAAAAAGTCAATACAACCTAGTATGTATAAATAAAATATCAAGGCATTCTCATCCCAAGGCGTCATATACGACACTTTTGCCAAAGAGTAGACATCCAACGCACATGGCACACTTTAAGGCCAATTTATACTTCTGCGTCGAGGGTACGCCGTAATGTACATTTTGCCATGCCGTTGTGAGCATTTATACTTCTGCGTTCAGGTCTTGGTTGCTCTGCAGTACTGCTCCGAAACGCTAGTTGGCGGCGGAGGGTTTTAATGTTCCACTGTGTTTAGATTCCTCGCGGCTAGGTTACTACAAGCAATAGCGACTGAAAGAGAGCTGATCATGTTTGAGTTGGAGCTTATTGAGGTGGAAAAACAGTTCACTTTAGTGAAATTACTAAAACTGACGTCAGAGGAGATGGTACGTGTGGAAATCATAGACAGTGGTGGAAATGCGTGCGAAGGTAAGTACGGAAATGTGTAGGAGGAAATGCGATGCTAACAAGCCGACCAATCATAGATCTTCCGGTCCGCGTCGTCGCGACATGTAGTTACATTTTTGAAGAGGTGCGCGTCAGGCGACGGCGAAGGGTACTCGGTATGGGACGCGTCTGTGAGTATGCTACGCCGTACCTACTGCGCGCACCCTACGCAGAAGTATAAATTGGCCTTTAGCGTCAAATGAGACGCTTCGGTTATGGTAGGTTTAGGTCTGGGGTAGGGTTAGGGTTAGACCACTAGGAGGCGCCTTCTGCCCCATATATATCTGCGTCTCATATTGACGCTAAAGGGTGCCATGTGCATTGGATCTCTACGCATTGGCAAAAGTGTCGTATATGACGCCTTGGGATGAGAACGGGCTCAAAATACAGGGTATGTATGATTTAAGAGGTCATAGTACAGATTTTGGATGCTCTGAAAATGGCCTATTTTTCATGATATATGAAACTTATCTAATATTTCTCCCTTACAAAATTGCTGAAATTTAGCCTATAGTGAAGCCTATTTGTGGAAAGTGCCACTAATTACTGTATTAAAAATGGAAACTCTCCACTGGTATTTTAGTGGTACGTGATACACTGTACTCAAATATTTAATGAACAGCTGCCATAGTAATGCTATGATATTAGCTTATTTCTGATGGAATATGTTCTTTTTCTCCCGAAACATCCTAGTGTTTTCAAATGTCCTCCGACATCATGCGTCAAACAGAAGTCAGTAAGACCCTGAGGTAAGGTATCAGTATCCAGATTCGACATGTTGACTGGAGAATTGCCACTTGCTGGCAAAAATCTCGTTTTTGTATTCATTGGTGTGGATCCCGTGTTTCCCGAGCTCCGCGATCCTGCTGGAGCACATCGGGCTGTAGTCCATGCAAACCCCCGAGTCTGCGACCGCCATGTAGGTGTATCCAGGCCCTTTGGGGGGCCACGTGTGGTTGGGATACTCGAAGCTGGATTGCGAGGACAGTCTTCCCGAACCCGAGCTCTGCGGGAGCGAGCCGAGGTCAGACGACGAGGACGACGTTCCCTCGGTGGCAAAGAGCGTCTGAAGCGGTAACGTTTCCTCGAAGACATCGTCCACCGGCCGCTCGGCAACTTCTTCCACATGCTGCGAGTTCTGATTGAGAGCCACGTAGGTGTCATGTGACTGCAGTAACGTAGACTGGGAGAGAGATTCTGGGTTTTCTTGAAGCGCCCTCAGTTGCTCCATGAGCCAGTGAGCGTGAGGAGGTTCTCGCCACCCTCCCATTAATCCCGAATCCGTGCGCTCGCTCTCTTCTACCTCCTCCGCAGGTTTCCTCTCCTCTCTCGGGGACGTGCCGTAGCTGGTCAGAGAAACCTCGGACAAAACCTCCACGGGTGAGGGAAGCTCCTCCGTGAACACATGGACTGATCTTCCCCACGCGCTCCCATTATTTTGGCTCATCCACTCCTAAGGGAGCGAAGAAACAGGATAGTTAGTTACTAAACATCTAATACAAGTAATGATCTCTTTTTTTAGGGATTTTGCAGTTCCAATCAGCTTTTTTTCTACCCATATACAGCTTTTGACCGCGAATTTCAATCGTAAGTGATGCCCAACTCGCTCCGAAGAGCCCTTGCAGTCGGAACATTGGAGGGAACAGGGAATTTGGCGAAGGGGAAAATGCCATCAATCCATTAGCTGTTCTTACAACAGGAATTTCTAATTATTGCTGTTAATAAAATTACGGCGAATAAATACTCATTTTTATGTTTCTAAATTAAGGCTATGTTTACACGGAAACGATTCTGAAGAGAAAACGCAAAAGTGGCGTTGCGTTATCACTTTTTATTCTGCATTTAGACTAGTGTTTTGGGTGGGAAATCCGCGTGCATATGGTGACGAAAAAGAGTGTGAAATTCGATGTAGTATGCACTCCAGGTGGCTAGGTGGCAATGTGGAGCACTGCCATACAACAACAGCAAGTCCGCGCACCTGCGTACAACCTTCACTGTCAAGAAGACTTTCGTGTTTTTACCGTTTATACGGGAACGCGACGGTGGATCGTTTTTAAGATTTCCACCCTGGAGGGTGGTTTCACTTTTTTGCATTTTAAGCTCCAAAAACGGCGTCGCCGTGTAAACGAAAGGCACATCCGATAAAATATTTGTACGTTTTCACCCGCAAGCGTTCTCGTGTAAACAGGGCCTAAGGGATAATGTACATCCAGTCAGTCGTCATCTCAGAATAACCCCCCGACAGGGTCAACCTTAATGTGTTTATTCTGAGATAACAACTGGCTGGATGTACATCATTACACTTATTAGACGGCTACTTGCCACATAAGTAAATTAGACACGAAATATTGATCTGAGTTGAAATATTCGATCTTTAAACGTATACTTCAGCGGAGAGCCGTTGCAGCGCAGCAAGTTCAAACTAGACGGACGGTATACAGTCATGCTATTTATTACACGGCATTTCGCCACATAAATAATTATTGGGATACTAGATATTGATTTCAGATTAAACCGTTTTAAAATCGTACCTGTTTATATTTTATAATTCAACTGTGTACAAAACAGTTACAAAATGGCAGCAGCTGCGTTCGTATGAAACGAGAGAGAGCGATTCCAAGATACCGGATGGCATTATTAAATCACTACACAAAATATTGATTCGACTGAGTTTATATTTTATTAGGTCACCAAATGCAAAACTTCCACCAAGAAAAAACGTTCCTAGCAAGCGTATAGACGAATCCGACGAGCGTTCTGTGTAGGCTGCCATCTTGTGGCGACGCCATTACTGAGCTGTTACACAGGCATATAGACATATGCACAGGTATGTAAACAAACCTCTGTGATAACGCGAACTCACCCTCGATGACAGCTACAGCCAGGCAGAATGACTTGTTGGTTTGATCTGTGACTGCAGTGGCCTCCAGTCACAGATGAAGGTACAAACGATCTTACAGATTAACGTTATTTATGAAAATAGCTTGGCAAGCTAGCTAGGCTAACGTTTGCTAACGAGGAAACTATAAAAAGATCTGTCCATTTGGCAACAATAAATAAATAAATGAATGAAATCAAATAAACAAATTCATGTTTTTCATTTGTGTCCATTATTTATCTCATTTTCACATTGCAACAGGCAAGGGTAAGGTAACGTTACAGCTAGAAAGTATAACTTACATAATATCGACCAATTAGTGTTTTTAAACCATGGAAAGAGATCAATATAACAGCAGGAAAACAATTATGTCACATAACGTTACATTTAGCTCAGGAAAACCATTTAATGACCATAGCATGTTAATTGAATAGAAAAAAATAGCAAGAGAGGAGATTTTGCTGATCACTATATCACATATTTATTATATTTTTTTTACTCATGTCATTAAATAATTGTTATTATACGCGAATGTCCACGTCTTGTACTCGCCCAGGAAATCTGTAAACCGTACGGCACCAGACAGGGGCAGTCGACCCGGGGTATTCACAATGTTTTCTCTTCAAAATTTAAATTTTACTGCCACCATTGAAACAATTTATAACGGAAACTGTTTACCCACTCGACATTATACAAGGGCTAACGTTGTAACGTTAGTGACAGTCGTAAATCGCGGGCTGTTTATTCCAGTGGACGCAAGTTGCAACTAAAACAATAGGAGGCAATGGCGCAACGCTACCCAGCAACAGCTCAGTAATGGCGCCCCGCTTACTTCCGGTAGTTTCGCCGGATTCGTCTATAGCGCTGCTGACTTCAGTGACCCGGATGAACCTGTGTTATCTGTGAATGGCGCAATTGACCAATCAGAATCAAGTATTCCACAGAGCCGTGTAAACAACTCAACACCAACTAACTTATGAAGCCGATTTAAGCTTAATATGAAATGTATGACATAAATGTGTGTTGACTGTTAACTCGAACTCTCTCTAGATTTAAAATGGACTCTCCACCCTGGTTCATATGACCATGAAAGATAAAACAGCTTCTTTAAAGTGACCGTTGTGTGTACCCTTCACTAACGAACTTGTGGAAGTTCCCTTTGTGAAGGGATTCAGGTGTTCACTTTCATTTTGAACATCCCTACAAATGGCGTCCCCTTCCTGAAGTGCCCTTCAATGGCCCATTGTCCTTCACTGACTTGACTAAAAATGGATAATAAACATTAATTTGTTGTATCGGTTAAACTTTTGACCAATTTAAAGCATCCTTGCTGAATAAAAGTATCAATTTCTTTCAAAACAAAGGGTGAATTCAGGTTGTTTGGGACACTTTTTGCCATTGAAATAACTGGTAGAGGAATAAATGAAAAGTTTGGTTTAGGTTGATTGGGGCACTTTTTCCCAATCACAGTTTGGAAAACATTTATTTATTAAGTTACATGTTAAATTATACATGGTACCATGTAAGTGGTGCAGTTACATTCAACTGAAGACTTGCATGAATTACCTTGAAATCCCCTTTGTAGACTGTGAAGAGACCTGGAAACTTGTGCTCAGGCGTGGGGATGTCAGGCCACAGTTTCTTCAGAAGAAACCTGTAATGTGCACAGAATCGACTCATGATTCACTTGTTCATAGTAGAAAGTGGAGTTTGCATTGTTACTGTGGACACTGAGATGATCATTACGATATCTATTACCTACACAAGCAACCGTACTTGGTAACCATTACCATTTACTGTACTTCACTATATTGGGTAGAAAAATGTCCCCAGATGCTAATGTGAAATAACCGATTGTCAAAGGTTGTTCTGAAAAAAAGTTCGATGTTTTCTTAGTGAATGACTGAAGTGATTATTTTATACATTATATAAAACATTAACATGATGTATGTTTTCATTAAAGGGTTAGTTTACCCAAAAATGAAAGTTATGCAATTAATGACTCGCCCTCATGTTGTCCCAAGCCCGTAAGACCTACGTTCATCTTCAGAACACAGTTTAAGATATTTTAGATTTAGGCCGAGAGCTTCATTGAAGATGTACGGTATACTGTCCTTGTCCAGAAAGAAAATAAAGACATCATTAAAGTAGTCCATGTGACATCAGTGGGTTAGTTAGAATGATTTGAAGCATCGAAAATACATTTTGGTTCAAAAAATAACAAAAATTACGACTTTATTCAGCATTGCATTGTTTTCCGGTTCTGTTGACCCGCGTTCAGTGACGCTGTTGACGTGTATCTGGTGTGTCCGTGTATTCAGGTTCAAATATGGTTGGGTAAAAAAATGCAATTCTTCCTCTGTGTGGAAATCCTTAGACATGTTTACGAAGATTGTTTTGTTTACAGCGTGTGTCTCCCTCAGACTGTAAAATGAAGCTCTTTCGCACCAGATACACATAAGCACTGAACGCGGATTGACAACAGAACCAGAAGACAATCCAATGCTGAATAAAGTCGTAGTTTTTGTTATTTTTGGACCAAAATGTATTTTCGATGCTTCAAAACAATGTAACTAACCAACTGGGGTCACATGGACTACTTTGATGATGTCTTCATTTCCTTTATGGACAAGGACAGTATACCGTACATACATGTTCAATGAAGCTCTCAGACTAAATCTAAAATATCTTAAACTGTGTTTCGAAGATGAACGGAGGTCTGACGGGTTTGAGGGCGAGTCATTAATTGCATAATTTTAATTTTTGGGTGAACTAACCCTTTAAGCGTGTATTTGTGAGAACTGACTTGTGGTTGGACAGAATCACAGTGAGAGACAGGAGGCAGAGGATCAATCCGATGGAAAGCACCAGTAACACGATCAGCGGATCCATGCCTGTTACAAGAAGAGAAACAAACGATGATTCCTCATTAATAAACCCTCACCGAGACACGTGCTGAGCAGTGGTCATGTGTAGATATCAAACATATCATCGTTTCTGTTACAAATATTAAAATCATCACAGAAATACTGGGATATAAGTTTATAGTTCGGATATAAACACTGATGTCTACTGTATGGAGATGTTTATACTATATAGCAATTCTATATACAACATATACAAATCAAAAATATGATATTTCCCAGTTCTAATCTGCTAAATGCAACTTTAAGACATGAAAATTATAAATATTAACATTGTAAATTTCTAAAGAGCTATATAAACTAAAATGGCTTAAATATGAGATAAAAAAAACAAGATTCTGACAGTAAATCATAATTATGTGATTAAAAATGTGAAGTTATGAGATAAAAAAATGACTTTCCATGACTTTCTCACTTTTCGACTTTTTAGGTCATAATTTTGACTTTACATCTCATGATAATGACTTAGTATGGAATAAGTTTTACTTATGTAATTATGACTTCAAGTCTAAATTATGACATACAAAGTCATTTTTGTGTCATAATTATAACATGCAAAGTCATTTTTGTGTCATTAATCACGACAGCCAAAATTATTACACACTAAGTCATACTGTATTTCTTAACATAAAAAATACCATAATTTAGACTTTTTATGTCATTTGACTTTAAATCATAATTTAGACTTTTAGTCAATTCATAATTATGGTCATAATTGGTCATAATTATGACTTACTATGTAATCATTTTGGCTTATGTAATTATGACTATGTTAATTTGGATCTCATATTTATCTATGATGTAGAATGCCCAATTTCCTCCACTTTTAAGTCATAATTAATACATAGTATATCATAATTATGACTTATGCCATAATTTTGACCTTTACGAAATGCTAATTATGAGATTGTCCAAATTACGAGATAAAAAGTTAAAAATTATGACTTTGTATTTCATTATTTAAACTTTTTGTCATAATTTTGATTGGAAGGCGAATCAGAATTTCGCCTTTTTGTCATGAGTTCGACTTTTTATCTCACAATTGTGAGACCGTCATTATTATGATGGAACAAAATCATGATTTGTTTTATGTGACGGAAATGGGCTTTCATATGTTTCACTTGTTGCTTGTACTTTGGAAAAGCATTCGGATCCACATACCGCTTGGTAGCGTGTCTGCAAACACAGGATCGGTCCAAGAACTCCAGTAGCTCTTGAAGGAGACGCCGTCGAGTTTGACACGGACCCACACCTTGTATCTGGTGCTGGACTGCAAGTCCCGCAAAACCAGCATGGTGCTCGCCTTCATCTCCTCCACCTTTAAAAGACAACTCGCAGCTGAGTTTCCCCGAGAAACACAATGCTTCGGCTTATTCAAACTACACTAACGGCCTCATAAAGAACACACACCTTTCCCATGTGACTTCCCTCCACTGCGTATCTGACCTCGTATATCATACTGTCGTCCATGTGTTTGAGCGGAGGAGGCAGCCAGCTCACGTTCAACTGCCCTTCCTTCCCTGAGCTCGTGACCGTCAGGTTTCTGGGAGGATCTACAAATACTGTGAAAGGAAAGCCATTGGAAAATGTCTTCAAGTTAGCATGAAATCAAATCTCATCTCTGCGTATTATGTGCCCTCATGGTCTTTAATCAAAATAGCTTCCCCTCCCTCCAACATCTCGTCTCTGATGATGTGTTTGCTGGTGCGAGGGCGGGGCAACCTGTCACTCATATGAGATCCATCAATACAAACCACAACCATTCAATCAATTCCACATGGACAATATCAAGCCCCGGATTCAGCTTTTGCTTTCTTCAGTCGCCATTCATTGTTTACATGTACAGCTTTTGTTTCAATCTAACTGAATTCATTCTGATTGGTGAATCTGAATGTAGTGTTTACATGAGGGCTAAACAAGTGATCGGCTGATGTGCGTTTTAACCATAGACTGTAAAAAAAGATGAACGACGCCCCTTCGCTCTTTTCCATCAGAGTGAAGTGAAGCCGCCAGTATCTCGATATGACGCTGACATCTTGGACTTGAGTCTGCGCACTTGCGTGTTTCGGGACCAGTCATGCGCAGTCGTGAGCAGGAAGTAAAGCCGCGAAATCAAGGCCGCGCCCTCATTCTCGCTGAATCAAACGCAAGCACACGCCCCGCACTTTCATTAAGTGTCCTCTGTCTGCTTCGTTCTTCTTCAATGATGTCTGCTGATTGCAGAACCTCGTTAAAATGAGGTAAATACAACTACTAACCTCATAACATTATTAAAAAAAGTCCGCTGGTGCTTCAGTGACTACCTCGCACAGAGAACATGTCAATCACAGCTGTCAATCATGATGTCAGAGCACCGTTATTTTATCATCACATAACTAACTAAAAACAAACTTATTTTAAAAAACGAACACTTGAAATGACATCAACGTGATAGAAACTACAGTAAATGACAGAAACTATCTTTGGAAAAAGGATATGTGAAGTGTAATTTAATTGTTTAGTTGGTCTCGCGTCCCATTGAATAACATGGGGAGGCGGGGGTTATGAGCTATACTAGGTCCGGTCACAGGGGGGCGATCGAGACGTTTTGGCTTCACTTTTGAGGGCTTGTGCGGCACGCTTGGTTTTAACATTGGTAAGAAAATTCCCGCTCCTCCGTGAGAGATACGAGACCGGTGCGTCTCACAGGTGTCGCTAATCAGTAATCACGCCACCGGCCTCGCGCCGTTCTCCCGCGGCCCTCACTCGTCCGGCTCGCCACAGTACACATGATGAATGGCGACTGTAGAACGCAAAAGCCGAATAACGGACATTTTGGGCGATCTCGAAATCCCGGGCAGACTCATCACGGAGACTCACTAGACTTGTTGTTTAACCACTGCGCTCTGTTACCGGTAGGCGTGGCCTCCTAGGGCAACGAAGCGAGTGCATTCTGGGAGTTGTTGTCTTTCATCCACATAAGCCAAAAATACATTTTCTGGCTTTTCTCAGTCTAGAAAGCTCCAAATTCAAAGATAATTTCACATTTCTTCTACATAAATGACCCATTTTAAACACATTCATCTTCCCAGAGGTGGAGTATCCCTTTAAACGTGTGATGGGCTGTACCTGCATTCTGATCAGTATTTTCTTCAAGTATTACTTTTAATAGACTTACTGACGTTCTCCGCTCTGAGGCTGCGATTATAGAGAGTCCGGCCATCACGGATCACCTGCACGTCAAGAGCCGCGAAGAACAGGGTTTGGGGCAGTTTGCAGAAGAAGACGGTTTTGTTACTGGCCAGTAAAAAACGAGAGGAAACCACACAAGGCATCTTCTTCTCATTCCTGAAGACACATGAACAGATTGATTGATGTTTTAGTGGGACCATTTAACTGAACTGACATGATTCATAATATTATACACTGTCTTTCAAGACCAATATGTTAAAATGGGACCAAGTATGTGTAATAAAAATTAAAATGCTAAATTTAAAAAAAGAAAGAAAAAAAAGATTGATTATTGCGTTGGTCCTTGAACAGTCACTTACTCGTATGAATACATGAAGGTATATTGATCATTCCTCGCTTCCTCCACTTCCCAGAAGCAAGTGAGATCCTTTTTTCCCTCCACAAAACATTTAAGATCCTCTGTGTCGTCTTGGAGTAACTGGGACACTGAACAATCATATTATATAAAGTATTATATATGAAAGCATTGTCAGCATTAATCAAAGACAATTGTAAACTGTGAGTGCATTTTGTAACAAGCACAAGTACAAGAAGCACAGGTGGAAACACAAACATTTATCTCTCTTTTTTGGACTAAGCATTTTATACATTTAAGAAGTTCAGTAAATAAAACTACATTATAAAAATACATTATATAAGATGATTTTACATTATATATAATTAATGCATATTTCAAAGCTTTCTAAATTAAAAATAGAAAATTTATTTGTTGGTGCGTGCCGTGGTCAATTATTAATAATAGTTCATATTATCATGTTGAATTTTTGCTGGTTCATCTTTATTATAAATATATATATATATGAATGAACCAGCAAAAATATATATGAAAGCATTGTGAAATATATATGAAAGCATATATATATATATATATATATATATATATATATATATATAGGATTCTTTGATGAATATAAAATTCAAATGAACAGCATAAAAAATTTTCAATATTTTTTAACATTAAAAATGCCTTTACTGTCACTTTCGATCAATTTAATGGGTCCTTTAAGAATTAAAGTTAATTTATTTCGTTTTTTAATGATATTTTTAATCTTTTGAATGGTAGCGAATGTTTATTGAGCATCAAATCATCATATACGAGTGATTTCTGAAGGATCATGTGACACTGAAGATGCAGAAAATTCAGCTTTGATCACAGGAATAAATAAAAAGTCACGTAATGCATGTAACTTCACGATGAAGAACATTAGTCAAACAATTATTTCTTACCTGTACTTTCAAAACTTTTTCCTCCTGTAGTGACAAAAGCAAGACAAAGCATGAAAACAACTTTCAATCCGTCGCTCCTCATTTTTCTCATCCATTTACATTACAAACGCATCACTGCTCCGTGTAAAGGTGTATCCTCCTTTCCAGGTGGGCTTTTTCGACCAAATTGTTTTGTGGACACCATGGACGGTTACGTGCATCTCATCTGATAACGCTGATAGTGTGTTCACAGAGTGTTTACGCTTTTACTATTTGTAGGCGGAGCATCAAAAAGAGTGTTGTTGTTGTTTACTGGGCGGAGCTTGACTGATGACATGCCATGTTTGAAGAGCTCCATGTATATTCTCAAGAGACAACATACAGTAACACGCTCAAAAAGGATTGAGTAGGAAACAATAGGACTTTTTTACTCAATGGGTTCTTGTGGCATTAAAGCATCAACATGTGCTCGGTCGCACGTTTTAAAGAGTGCAAACTGCACTGGTGTTGTTCTGTAGCAAATAACTGGCTCTTTTTATCACAGCCTGACACTCATGTTTTTTTATGCTCAACCTGCGTTATCAGCACAGTGCTGAGCTTCTCTTACGCACCGATAAGCACAAGTATTACGAGTCGACCCAGTCTGCCTGCAGCTCACTGTCCATTATCACTATGACAGGACTGTGCCGTTATTTCAACCCAGGACACATTGTTGAGATGGGAAATGTGACAGGCGATTAGGCCCACAGGTGGTTTTAATCATGCCAAGGCTTTGTCTGTTTAGTAAAGAATGAATTGCATGCGCATTAAACAGATGTTGGTCCTCTTATGCATGCAAAATCATTTGTAAAATGCATAAATGGTCTTATTCATTTTTTGTGTATATACTGTAAGGTGACACTCAGGTCAACGGTGCATGTATTTCCTCTGGCTCTGGAGGTGGTGGGTTAGTAGTGTGTAACAGGAAAATGAGTGTTCAGGAAGCCCCTTTGTGGTTGTTTTCTGGGTACGTAGATAAAAGCAGAGACACGGGTATAAAGTCATAAATTACAGATCCAGCTCAACCAACTGCGCAAAATTACTTTTCTTTTTGTGCAAAAGAAACTAAAGCGAGTTCCTCAAGTCCATTTGTGTTTTTACACGTTTTGTACTGCAACACAACCGCCATATAGTTTTCATCAAAGGAAAATCCCTGGAAAAACAGGTTAAAATTGTGGTGAACTTCAAAGGTGCTATTCAACAAAGAGACAAACATTTCCATAGACTTACATTGAAGTAGCAACCACCCAGCAATGCCCTAGTTACCAACTAGAACACCATAGCAACCACCCAGCAATCCTCAAGTCAAAACAAAGCATTCCTGGGGCTCAAACATTAGAGAATGACTAGAATGTTCATTGATTATAGTTGCATATTTCTATATTTCCTGTTGCCATTTCTATTAGTTTTTTTTATGTCTATATCATTTCTATTAAGTTTGAGTTGATTTAGTTTTATCCCTTGAACTAAAATAGTTCTAGAGCTATAGAAATGGTGAAATAAAATAAGTCTATATGGTACATTTTATTGGTAATTATCGTTAACTAAAAGTACTAAAAATATTAAGAACTTTTGTTGATTGAAAAAAACTGAAGTAAAACAAAATATAAAATTAAACTTAATTTAAATGAAAATAAGAAATGGTGCCTCAGCACTAAGCTTAACTAATAAATAAAAACTTAAGCTTTAATAAATATTTGGTAAATAAATAAATATAATAAATATCAAACTTAATTTAAATGGGCTATATATGTACGAATTTTCATCTAATAATCGCTTTTTTACTGCCAATGTGTACACAGCTGGAAACGAAACTTTTGTTTTTTTTGGAAATCAAAAGGATATGACGTTAACACCCGCTCCCGAGAGCATCTTTTTCCTCATTTGTAACAAATACAATGGTAAAGATAATGCCAAAATAGCCATTCGGTATTGTAATGTCAATTTGTCATGGATGCGGTTTATTTAAACTATAATCTCAGATCTAGTCTTCAATTTATACAATCAAACAATCGCGTCAGTGTAAATTCAATTACCTCATTATCTGTCCTGTCGACATGTTGACGACGAATTGCTTTCTAAACGGCTACTTTCTCCCGCTGTCATTTTTGTTGCTTATTTTGTGAGAGGAAATTGGGCGCTGCATATTACATTACAAATGAACGTCGTGGTGTTAAAAATCGCTGCAAAACTTGTTATTTCTACTAAAAGCCAAGAACAAATGCTTTGGGGTGACGTGCAAGAGTGCGAGCACGAGCGATAAGTTGCTAGCTAGCTGCAGTTCACTTAAAGGCCACATTTGTCGCTATAACAAGGGTTTCTAAATACTACATAGTGGGGGAAAACGAATAAAATGACAAAAGCATGTAACGACATTACTAAAAATGTAACTAAAAGTAACGTGAACATTTAAAATTACTTACATTTTAATTAGCCTGATAGTTGATGATTTAACCCTGGGTCAATTCAATGATTCCAATGCAATTGAAATGTTCAACTTGAATACCATTCAGAACCCACTCTCTTAAAAATAAAGGTTCTTTATTGGCATTGGTGGTTCCATGAAGAACTTTTAACATCTGTGGAATATTTCCATTCCACAAAAGGTTCTAGTGGAAAACTTTTCTTCATACTAAGAAAAACATTGTTCTTTTAAGAACCCCTCACTATCGCTTCGAAAACGTATAACACCAATAAAGAAAGAGAAATTGAAACAAAAGTGTCCTTTTAGAAACAAAAGAAAAGCGACAGGGATGAACCCAATGAACTTAGTCTTACAGGTCACAGGGTATTTTGATAATGCATGGGAGGGTTGAAGAGTTTTATGAAGACATGTAACAAACCTGGCACAGGTTTACAGAACATTCACATGGCTTGCTATTATCTGACTGGACGAGAACGCGGGAAAAAGCTTCAGTACAAAACACGAGGCCATATCTCTCTACACTGGACATAACGGATAGCCAGGAGAGTGTGCAACAACAGAGATATAGAGAAGACTGTTTTGGATGGCCAACACTCGTTTCTGTTGTGTCCACTGCACTGCTGAGATCAGGCTATTCGGGTGAATCCCATCAAGAGCATGACGCATTTTACTCCAAAATCAAAAGAAATGAAACCAGGCCTATTTTGGGATCTTTAAAGATTTTTTGGGAACACTTTACAATAATGTTTCATTTGTTAACTATATTAGATAACATGAACTAAGAATGAACAATACTTGTACAGTATTTATTCACTCATTTGTTCACTCATAAAGCGTCACTGATTTCTTGCATTGAACGCACTACTTTTATGTAAGAATGGATTGATGTAATATTTACACTTCTTATGAATGACGCCAATTTTAGTTAGACATTTATTAAGTTCAGCAAGTATAACGAGAATTACAAATACAGCATACTGGTCATTTTGGGTTATAGATAGTTTATTTGCTATCTTATAATTTAAGAAAATGCTCATTACAAAAAAATAACTTGTAAAACAGTAAAACATTAATATTTCTGGGTGTGAAAGGCTTGTTTTTGCCACGAAATAAAAAAAGAAATATGCTAATTGTGACTTTATTTCTCGCAATTGCTAGTTTATATTTCTCAGAACTGATGGATTAAGTTATAGAAAGTCAGATTTGCGAGATATAAAATTGCTTTTCAGACTTTTTGAGAAATAGTCACTTATTGCAAGTTCATAACTCGCATTTTCGAGTCTCTCACAATAAAAGGAAAAAGGTCAGAATTTATATAGACAAAAAGTCGCAATTACCTTTACAAAAAAAAGTGTTTTATTCCGTGGCAAAAAAAAAGCTACCGTAAGTTTCAAAAATCAGCTCACGATTGCACATATCAGAAAGACATGAGTGCATTTATCTCGATAATGGTGCCGAATGAGCTGTTTAAAGCAGATGGACACCTAGATAGACAATACAAGAGTTGTGGACGTCACAGGCCAGGTTCTGTATCTGACGAGAAAGCAAACGTGCTAAAACCACAAAGAGCCATGGAAACGTGGGCTTTTTGAGGGAGAGACAGAGAAAAGATGGCGAACAGGGTGAAGAGCGTGAGGAATGGGTGTGGATGAACCTCTGACGGCTTGCAGTATCTCCAGTTGTCTCTGCGTGTGCATGCGTGAACACGTACATCACTCAGATACCAATCCACACCATCCTATCTCGACTTCCACGTCAACAAACAACACTGAGCGTGTTTAGCAGATGCTGTTTGGGTTAAAAATAAGGAAAGCAAAGATCATCCCAAGCAGTGGTGAATAGTGGAGTGAAGTTCTCGACGTGACGGAGAGAGTTTGTTTTAGCAGGCGCAGCCGGCGTGTCCCTCGGACGACGTGTCCTGCTGACTGGAGTCTTTATGGTTGGACACCGGTCCGTCTCCGTCCAGACTTTCAGTCATCTTGTCACATATCACGTCCACCAGACACTCGAAAACGTGCTTCACGTTGATGTTGTCTTTGGCGCTGGCCTCGAAAAATTGGAAACCTGCAGAGACAAGTTAAAATGACTAAACATAAGTGAAGGATGTGGTAGGAAAGGATAATTGTTATGACATGTTCTCATATTTTCTAAAATGCAATAATTATGAAATATTTTCACAAATGTTTTATTTAAAAAAATATTTATATATATATATATATATATATATAATTTCTATTATTAATAGTTAATTAATATTACATTTTATTTATAAATTGTCCCAGCACATTATTGAAATGACAGAGGGATAATTAATAAATAAAATGGGAAAAAATTATGAATAAATGGAAAAAGTTCTGTTTTTTCTGCATTGATTCAAATAAATACACTCAAAAATATTATCTGCTGGCTTTTATTAACTTTTTTTATGTCAACAGGTTCCACCTAATTCGTTCATGAAACATCAACATCATGGAAGTCATTTTAAGCGACCCAATTAAGCTCTGAGCATAGATGAACACTGAAACAGTGTTAAAGTTGATGAGATAATTAAGTGAATAATTGAGTGATGTTTAGCATCAGTGAAGGTAACAAGCAGAATCACTGAAGGAGAAAACCAGAATGTTTGAGTCACCATTATGGTGATCAGTGTTGGGCTATTGACCCTCACATCATTAAATTTATATTTTATTTGACTGCTGTAAATGAGTTATATCAGCCAGATGAACAAATAGAAAAGATAATCTGATGGTGTTATTGGTTATATTGTAACATAATCGTAATTTCACAATCATTTGACTTGACTCACTGAACACATATAGAACCTAATTTTAATTTATGGAATATAGCAGCACTGTCATTGTAGCACATGCAATTTTTTTACTCCATGATGCTGAAGTTACATGAACAAATTATGTTAGTTTAACATAACCCAGTTGAAACCTGTTGACAAAGTTAATTTATGGAACCTGTTAACATAAAAAAAAGTTAATTAAAGCCAACATAATCTTTTAAACGTTCACTGGTAACAGTCAACGATTCTACTACTAACAGATATAGGGACACTACATTTTATTCAAGCTCAAATCAAATGTGCTTCCTCTCACCGAGTTCATGAGCCAGTCTCTGACTGTCCTCTGTTGGAATGAGTCTGTCATCTTCCAGGTCACACTTGTTGCCCACCAGTATCACCTGTGCGTTATCCCACGAGTATGTCTTAATCTGTGTGGCCCTAAGAGCAAAGGTTACATTAACGACAAGATTAAACTTTCTCAATACACATAGATGCACGGGTGTATGTCACTGACCAGTCCTGAACGGCGTTGAAGGAGTCCAGGTTTGTGATGTCGTACATTAGCAGGAAGCCCATGGCTCCTCTGTAATACGCTGTAGTGATGGTTCTGTAGCGCTCCTGTCCGGCTGTGTCCTAAACAACATAATCATTACAATTATCAGAATTATACACATCCTGGGATGTGAGGCTGATGATGTGATAGATAAATGGTATTTACAGTGTTATTACCCTTGATGACCAATAGATGGCAAACAAGAGTTATTTTTCTGGTGTCGTTTTGAGAGCCTGTGTTTTATGATCATCCATTTTTACAAAATGGATCGATCAGACAGATATATAGACAGACACAGATAAAAAAATAAATGAATCAAAAATCCATCCATGTTTAGGACTATTGGCCTGGGTTGCCACAGCTACTATGCGTCATCTCTTAGAAACCTGCTATTTTCACTGATCTCTTATTTTTGTATAAATTATAATGTTTTGTTAACCTGCAATAAAAAAAAAATAAACCTGGTATTGACCAAAGAAAATTTGCATGAAGAGCCTTGGATCATCAGAGAGGGAGGAGAGAACGGGTTGCCTGGGCAGCCACTGGGTCACACAGGTTTACACGTGACCCATTAATGACAGACAGCAGAGATGGGCTCCAATGAGCAGTCAGGACAACAAAAGCTGTAAGACTGGTCAGAATGCAGAGTGGTGAAATAACCAAAAACACCTGTGCCCTAATGAATATTGATTCAATGCAAGCAATTAATTATTACTACATAAAAGCCGTACAGCCGTATAAAGGCCAAGACACAAGAAACAAATGCACTGATTTTCAATCATGCTAACTGTATGATGTATGAATCATGAGCATGAATCATGGTGCAAACGATCGTTCCACACACACACTTGTGAGGTTAAGTGTCCCACCGCTCAATCAATGTCCTCTTTTAGAATTTGCACACATTTACCAGCCCAGATTTTTAACAACAGGCCTATTTCCTTTTCTAAATTATGCATAAGAAACTGCAAAAACGCATTGCAAAGTAATCGTTCGAGTGCATCTGCAGAGCTCTTTCTTCCAAACTCAAACTCGCGGTCTCATTCCAGTCCAGTCATGGATGACAGATGCAGAGGTTTTGCATGGCCAGGAGGAGCTTTTATCAGAAACTAACACACACAAGCCTTTTCTAGTTCTGGATCAGAGCCACAGCACACATTAAGGCTAAATGCACTGCTGTGTGCGCAGCCATCCATTTCACATTCATCCCTTAAGAAAAGCTACTCCCATTTTTAGATTATATTCAGAATACTACTTTTACTATTTCTACAATGTATAGTAAGAACATGTTTTGTATGCATAAAATACCTTGATGAACTATAGTATACAGCGGACAGAGTATACTGTATGAGATCATGTATCCCACAATGCACTGCACTCGAGTTGACCTTCATGTCAAGACAGATTAACGAGAGATGTGATAACTAAGTGATAAGCTGCATGATCAAACTGCCAAAAGTTGTGTTTTCACATAGAATTGGATTAAAATTCAAATTATACGTTTGTGAGATTATAACTGGATGACATTTACTCAATTAAACATGCATTAGTCATGTGATCGACATGTAGACTACTTAAGTATGCAGGACGTTGTATGTACTTTGTCACATGTAGTATACTAGACTTTACTAAAGGATACTAGAGTTTGTAAATTTTTATAGATTAATAATTTTGTATACAGTAGTTTCACATACTAGTATTTAAAGTGTTTTTTTCCAGTTATTATTACCTTTCATGATGAGTGTAAACGATGTTTATGGATGTAAATGGTCTGTACATTTTGAATGATCAAATATGGTAATGGACGTTTTGTTTTCGGGGCCGTCAGACCAATTAGAGCAGAGTAGACCAATCACAAGAGACGGGGCCATCTGACCAATCAGGGCAGAGTACACCAATCACAACAGACTGGGTCACCTGACCAATCAGAACAGAGTAGACCAATCACAACAGACTGGCCATCTGACCAATCAAAGCAGAGTAGACCAATCAAAACAGACTGGGTCATCTGACCAATCAGAGCAGAGTAGACCAATCACAACAGACTGGTTCATCTGACCAATCAGAAAGGAGTAGACCAATCACAACAGACTGGTTCATCTGACCAATCAGAGCAGAGTAGACCAATCACAACAGACTGGGTCATCTGACCAATCAGAGCAGAGTAGACCAATCACAACAGACTGGGTCATATGACCAATCAGAACAAAGTAGACCAATCACAACAGACTGGCCATCTGACCAATCAGAGCCCAATCACAACAGACTGGGTCATCTGACCAATCAGAGCAGAGTAGACCAATCACAACAGACTGGATCATCTGACCAATCAGAGCAGAGTAGGCCAATCACAACAGACTGGATCATCTGACCAATCAGAGCCCAATCACAACAGACTGGGTCATCTGACCAATCAGAGCAGAGTAGACCAATCACAACAGACTGGATCATCTGACCAATCAGAGCAGAGTAGACCAATCACAACAGACTGGATCATCTGACCAATCAGAGCAGAGTAGAGTAGACCAATCACTACAGACTGGATCATCTGACCAATCAGAGCAGAGTAGACCAATCACAACAGACTGGATCATCTGACCAATCAGAGCCCAATCACAACAGACTGGATCATCTGACCAATCAGAGCAGAGTAGACCAATCACAACAGACTGGATCATCTGACCAATCAGAGCCCAATCACAACAGACTGGGTCATCTGACCAATCAGAGCAGAGTAGACCAATCACAACAGACTGGATCATCTGACCAATCAGAGTAGAGTAGACCAATCACAACAGACTGGGTCATCTGACCAATCAGAGCAAAATAGCTCTCAGAAAGGAGAGGATAATAAGATAATCCTTTATCAAACGGACACTGAGAAAAGAGGTGATGCTGCATTGTATATTATAAGAAAATTAAAGTGTTTTTTGGTTTAGGATGCATGTAAACCTATTGTAGAAGACCTCCAAAACAAAAATAAAATAGCATAATAGGGCACTTTATTGTGCAGGTAACAGCACACTAGTGCTCCATCTAATCCACGATTTGGAAATCATTGCAACATTTCTGCTGTGGAGGAATTTACCGACTTCACTTCTAAGTACCGTACCAGCCAGCAACTGACATTACAGCACATCTACACACCCATCTGTGGCTAATAATTATGGCTTTCTGAGATGCCTTCTTTAATAACACCAGTAATCTGACCTTCATTCCCCAAGGCTAAATCTCAAAGCTCACATGCAAACAAAGCACAACACATTCAGATAGAGTTAATGCCACAAACATGCTGAATCTGAATCTTAACGCTGGTTTATACATGCATGCATGATATGTAATATTCCAGTATCCAATATCTTAACCATGGTTTTCCTAGTTTGAAGAACATTTTAATTTAGAACCTCTCGTTTAATGGAAAGATTCCATGGACGTTGAAGGTTCTTCATAGAACCATCGATGCCAATAAAGAACCTTTACAACTATTGCAGTCACTTGTGATTAGGATTTTAAGAGCAATTTACAGAATTTGGACTTGGTTCATTTAATAAACAGATTTCATTCCTTTCCACAATCTATCAGCGAACTTGACCTTTAAATATAGTTTGAAGAGAATTTCTCCAATTACTGATCAGGTGATAATCAAACTTACCCAGATTTGTAGTTTGATCCTCTTGTTGTTGCGAAAAACGGTTTTCACCTTAAAGTCGATCCCCACCGTGCTGACGAAGGCTGAAGTGAAGGAATCGTCCGCGTACCGAAACAAGAAGCTGGTTTTACCCACGCTGCTGTTGCCGATGATGAGGAGCTTGAACATGTAGTCGAAGTTTTGGTCAGCTGCGTCTTTCTGGGACGGCTGGAGGTGTGAGTTGGCCACTGATGCCATCTGAAAGAGAGCTTTCAAATATCAATACAAGATTTGAGAATTTTTTCTTATTTTAATGACCTCATATTTCATTTAGATGTTGCAAATACATAAAGATTGATCCAAATCGTGCCTCATTTTAAGTCGACAAAAATCAAAATCGACCCCATTTAAATTTCTAAACACATGCAAGAACAACAAAATACAGTCCAATATGGTTTTTTATCAAACTGTCTCAATGTTTCTAGGTTGACTTCAAATAAATGACACATTCATGTGTGAAAACAAATGTCTGTTCACCCTCAGAGCACAGCCTTCAGAACCAGCCATCTCCGCCGACAGGAGAGCACAAACTAACAAGCAAACCCTTGGGAATGGAAACACAACCCCTCCAACCCTTCAGCTGATCAATCAGACCCTCACGGGCCCGTCTCCATCGCGACGGGCCCCCAAACAAAGCATGCAAACCCATTAACAGGCGCTCCAGAGGTGGAGATGCTACAACAAAGAGACGACTGCCCACAGCAGCCTTTTGTCTCAAGGACACAAGAGCACTTGTTAGCTAGGATCTTTTTGAGCTCATTTGCAGTAGTAATTTAGAGCGCCACGTTTGTTGGAGGGGCTGAAGGACTGATATTCATGCTCATTCAACTGCTCTGGTGGTGAGTAGGGTTGCAAAATCGTTGGGCAAGAGAATAAGAAACACTCGAGAGGTTTTGAAACATCTTCCTATTTTGAAAGGAAGTGCAGACAGAGCGTTAAATGAATAGTGCTTGTATTCAGCAAAGATACATTGTATTGGTCAAATGTGACAGTAAATATGAAGCAGCACAACTGTTTTTAACATTGATGAGAATCAGAAATGTTTATTGAGCATCAAATCATCATATTAGAATGATTTCTGAAGGATCATGTGACACTGAAGACTGGAGTAATGATGCTAAAAATTCAGCTTTCATCACAGGAATACATTACATTTTAAAATATATTCAAACCAAAACTGTTAATTTATATTGTAATAATATTTCACAGATGTACTGATTTTTATTTTTTTTGATCAAATAAATGCAGCCTTGGTGAACATAAGAGACTTCTTTCTAAATATATATATATATATATATATATATATATGGGCAGCGATTAATCAGCGATTAATCGCGATTAATCGCATCCAAAATAAAAGTTTGTGTTTACATAACATATGTGTGCATAGTGTGTATAATTATTTTGTATATATAAATACACACACATGCATGTATATATTTTAGAAAAATGTGTTCTTAATATATCAAATATTTTATTTACATAATATTAATTATGTATAAATATGAAGAGTTCAGATGCAAAAGCCTCTAAGTGCCATTTGAAATTTTCTTCTACAATGATCATTTTTATCAAGCTTGTATATTTAAGTTCAGTGATTTCACTTAAACGGCAATGATAATTACCTATTAATTGTTATTTAAGTGAAATTACTGAACTTAAATATACAAGTTTAATAAAAATCATCATTAAAGAAGAAAATTTCAAATGGCATTTAGAGGCTTTTGCATCTGAACTCTTCATATATATAAAGTATATATATGCAAATATTTCTTAAATATATACATGCATGTGTGTGTGTATTATTATATATGTATATATATAGGACAGTAAAATAGAATTGAAGTGGAGACAGGGGCTGATGAAGTTAAACAAAGGCAAAAAAAAAAAAATCATAATATGTAGCCTGTACGACTACAGTATTACAAGTCTTTCTGAAACCAACAATGACTTAAAAAAACACAATCATTTAAAATAACATCTTTCAATTCACAATTACATGCATTTATATTATTAATCATTAAAACGACAATGAATAGAAAAGTATGCATGTAATGATTCATTACATGCATACTTTTCTATTCAATGTCGTTTTAACTTGCTGTATGCCTTATTGTTCGAATGAACACTAAAGTTGAGTAAAACTTAGCAAAGGATCTTAAGCTCAAAAAAACCCTTGTCACATGCTGAGCATGTGCACTGGCTACATCAAACCTTCCAATATTAAAACTGAAGCTAAAGACAAAGTCATTAAAAGGATTTCTTTATAATAATGAGACACTGGTGACCCAAATCCCCATTGATCTGCTTAGGTTTTATTACAAATGTGCATCTGTATGAATCCATAAAACAGATCTGATAAGGCGAGCATATGCTCGGCATTCATTTTACAGCTCAATTTAATAGTTTTATACCAAATGGCACAAAGCACAGCTCTCGGTCCATTAGTAAGAACACTGAATCCAATCCCAATTGTCCCATTAAGACAAATCAATAATGTTTATGATATGGACTCCCCTTCCCCCAATTAACATTACGTTTAAAGACCTACTACAACACGAAATATGGCATCACCTTCAACCATGTAATCCTTATTGAGGAAAATTGCACCGATTTGCCCGGTTAGTACCCGGTTGTGTCTACTTTGACGTTAAAGTTTCAGTATGATGTTCTGTTAAACTATGCATAAACTATGAATACATTATGCATGATGATATGCGCAAAGATACCAGAAAGGGACGTGATGTAACCATCCATAAAATAGGTCTAAATAGAACAAATGTCAAATGCATCTTCCCAGAAGTTCATTCGCCAACAAAGGAAAAAATATGGTATTTTGAGTAAAATACCAGTTTCACCTTTCTGCTTTAAACCTTACGGGAATGTCTTGCCTCGGATGTGTTTTACTACATGTGAATTGTACAGCATTAAATGAACACAACTCCATTTCAATGATCAGATCTCTCTGCAAAAGCTCAGAGACCTGCACCTCAGCTGGCTTGAATGCCCTACGGCCGGCTGATGGAGCGGTGATCTGGAGCATCTGAGATTCACCAGAGGGCTGAGTGTGTTTGGAGGGCCAGGGTCTCTGGTTACCATGGTGCTGCTGTTCTGGCTATTGATCGTCTGGCAGATGTCCACAGCGCTCCAGAATAATGGAATTAAACAGGACACAATTTGCTTTCAACCACTGCAGACAATCACAACTACATTTCATAAAATACATAAGCTAATATCTAATGAACTAAATAATGTTTTGTTGATCCATGCAATGCAGGAGGTTTACGATACAACAATAACATAAATACATTGATTGATTATGAATGAAAAAGGAATGGGTATAATATAAATCCTTCAACATAATAAAATCAACTTTCTTTTCAGCTTGTCTTGGCATCACGTGACACTTTGATATACGGTACCGTGGTATTTTAAAGTACCTCGAAGTAACTTTAATTGTACCACGGTAAATGGATCTTTTTTAAAAGTGTTTTTGTTCTGCTGGACTGGATTCAAATCTTCACTCTCTGACGCTCTAAACTATTTCAAAGACCAACAATGACATCACCGTGTCATAAATGAACAAAATGTAAACATTTCACATCCTGCACGAACATGACCCAAAGTTCACGAAGCTGCTGTCGTTTTCCCATCCGGAGAAAGAAACGTTTATGAAGGTCAAAAAATAACTTTCAAATGCAAAGTGTATTGAATTGAGTTCCTACCTTCAGACGGGTAGTCGGTGCTTTATCTCGTGCTCCGGTAAAGCCACCGGGACTTCCTCGCGTGGAAAAGCGTAACAAACTCTGTTGTCTGTGTGTGATTGTGCTTGTGTGTGTGCGTGTGACGGAGCTCCCGGATCTGAAGTGTGTAGTGTACACAGCAGCTTCCAGCTCTGTCCTGAACAGCAGCACCTCAGCTCTTTTTCTTACTCTTACACACTCTTTGTTTCGCAAATAACCTACTCTATAGGAAATCTATCTATCTATCTATCTATCTATCTATCTATCTATCTATCTATCTTTTAATTTTCGATTCGATTTCAGTTCACGTAGGAATATAAAAAAGGTAAGTAGGAATTAAATGAAAGTCCTTGACTAAAAATAAAAAAGTCGATAGATAAATAGTTAGACAATCAGTAGGCTAATTCTTTTTATTTAATAAATAATATTTCACTCAATTGCAGAGTGTAAAAACACTTCATTTCCCAGGATGCAGTTAGGCTACTTCCTGTAGGTTGTAGAAAATTAATATCAAATTCTAACTCATGAAACGCAAATCTAGTTTAATTGATATCACCTCGACACTAATTAAGTCATAATTATTGTTTATTTCACCTAAATTATTAGCATTGATGTTTGCAAGTGTGTTTTGTCAGTTCTAACTAGTGTGTACGCGTCAGAAAGTCACATTTGTAGTATTTTATTTTATAACTCAACGAGCTGAACATGTGCAGTTAACTGAATAGATGTCAATTTCTATCAGTTTGCTTTCTAAATAATTAAAAAAAACACATACCATTGAATTAAAAGTAAAAATATGATTAATAATAAACAGTTTTAAAAACTAAAGAATCAACACATCTTCACAGCAAAGGCTTGAATATGCCAAATCCACAAATACATTAGCATGTATTGATCTTCAACAACTCTTTTCCATGTCCTCCGCCATACCAGGAAATTTACTTTGCTGTTCAAACAATACATTTACAAAGATGATCAAAGGTTCATTTACTGTACATTCATTTTTCACTAGAGTTTAATTGCCATTTTAGTGTCTCATTCAAACAAAGCCAATAATATAAACAGCATTTTATGATTGTCAATCCAGATGTTGGTCCACTTATTTCCACAAACAGCCCTCTAGTGGGAAAATACAAGTATTGTTCACATTATGAAGCACAAAGGCAAAAACAGATACGAATTATTACATACTTGAACAAAACACATTCTTTAAGCAATCATAAACAGGTATATTATCAATAATGTATGTTTAAATAGATATTCTGTTTATTATAAACAAAAGATTCAGTGCAATTACCCACTTTGAAACATTTTAAAGTAGGGAGAAATACTGTGAACATCCATAATAATATCATTTAATATGGCTGGACATCTTTATATAATAATTTATATATATATATAATTTGTCTGAAAAGAATTATGCAGGTTTTTTTTGGTAACACTTTACAAAAAGATTGACAAATGATGTAAGAAATGTATCGCTCATTGTTAGTTAATGCGCTAAAAAAAGAAACTTGATAGTAACATAAAAATCGTCACAAACACACTTTAGTTCAATGCTAATTCATTGCCATTCATTTAAAGTGAAGAAATTATGGCAGAAGATTATAATTATTTCAATTCAATTCCCAACTACTCAGTTCATTATTATACATTATATTTAAAATAATAATATTCTAGTGTGAATGGAAAATAGACTGAATCCCAATCACAAATAAAGTGGACTAAAAAGAGATGCGAATCCACTTTTAGGGACAGTGTGAATGCAAAATCAACTGGGCACCTTTTCACTTTTGGGTCTGAATTGGTTTCTTTTAACCTTAAAGAAAACGACACACTCTTGTTGTATAAAAAACTAGAAGCATTATAGTTATACAAAAACAGTTTGACAAAATAAAAGTGAACAGACAAAGGATAATTCATTAAAAATATCTGTCTGTACTCTCTCAAACTCATATAGTACCCAAATGGAGGGCCAGGTAAATGAGATTGACGGTGGTAGAGACAAAGCCTATGAGGTTACAGAGGTTAGACAGACCATGGTAGTGGTAGAAGGTGGATCTGTGCTCCTTGTATTTGGGGTCCTGCTCACGCAGTTTGACGTATCCTTCCTTATTAGAGCTCATCCCCACTTGAGCCCCCAGCCCATGCTCCTTCTCGATCTCCTGCATGACCAGCATGCTCTCGGTGGCAGACGGACCGAACCACTGTGCGTTTAGACCAGCCATGATCACGGCCACAAAGAACAGACTCATCTGTTGGGAATATTAAAAGAGTGCATGAGAGAGGCATGATAGTGAGGGAGAAATGAATGCAGAAATGTGTGACAAAGTCACCTGTACGCCTTCGTGCCAGTCTAGCAGTTCTCTGGGATGGTACACGGCATATATGGCCAGACTGACTGCATTACCCCCCAGCAGACAGTAGAAATAAAATGGGAACAACTTGCTTTGCACGAGACCGAACGTGTGCATGGATACCTGGGAGATCAGCACAAAACCTGAGAGTGAAAAAATGGAATTAGGATTATGTGGCATGTTTTATGACAGCATAATTAATTGAAAGTAACTTACTACTAGTGTATAGAAATGTACCTGCTATGAAAGACACCCACACCTGCATTCCCCAGGTAAACGAAATCACCAGGAGGTGAAGCACTTTCATAAAGTCAGTCGGGTCTCCCTCAGTAGCCATAATTAACTTCCGAAAACTAAAGTGAAAATCAATAATCAGCACACATAAAGATGCAGTCTCTCTCTCATTCATACATGCTGGACTGATGTTGAGATGAGAACAACATGCAATTGCAATACACAACCTGTAGTTTTTTTAGCCTTTGAACCTTTGCGATAATCGTGATCGCTTATGGTTTTGGATCCACTTATTAAATTCGCATCAGATTTCTTTATGCACCGTTAATGCAGGAATGACAACAGCACATTTCGAGACTTCCGTGATGGTCGTTCACGCAATTCCTCTGTTAACTTACTTAACGCAAGCATGAAACACTGAAGCAATTTCCTTCTCAAGGTATATTATGTCCATTCATAGAAAATACATACCCGATTTGTTTAGTCTATTTATGCAGGTCTTTCTATATTCATCCGTTTCGAAGAAACCTGTAATAATATTGCCGTGTCTTTTCTTCTAAACAAAAATTCTCCTGCTGTTTGTTCGATTATCAGCACTAACTTGTTAGTCCCGCCTCCACAGCGACAACATCCAATCGCTCTGTTTTTCCAAATACTTGAGCGTGTATCATCCAATAACGCTCTATTATTCAAATATGAAGGCGCATATCATCCAATCAGAATGCAAGCAGATTCTTGCCCACCCAAAATTATGACAAATGAACAGATAACTAACAGAAAATTAAACTTTGGGTTATAATCGTAAATATCCACAATAAAAGCTATACTATGGCCTATATAAGGTTATATCCTTTATAATGGATATCTATGGTTATAACACTCACTCTATAATATTTTTCATACTTTTCAGCTTTTTGTTTTTGCTCAAGTTTAAACTTTAGATGCCAACTTAACATCGAATTTCCGTTAATGGAGGTTTATATAGCCGACTTATATTTTATGTCATTTTATGTCAGCTTTATTGAAATTAGTGAACAATTTCATAATACAAAACACATGAAAAGTAATTATTTGTATATTGATCGAGATGTATAAGGAATATGGCTGAGTAACATCAAACTCAACCTATTAATATAAAATAAGTCAAGCATAAAATTAGTTAAAAGGGTATCTTTTTTATTAGAGTATAATAAATAAAGGTTATTGTTTATCTAAAACACACAGTGTGTTGCCGTTCTGGTGTTTAATGGTTGGAGTCAGAGCCAATTCTCATTTTATTATTTATTTAACATAAATAATAATAAGTAACATGGATTTGTGCGTAGTTTGTTTTTGTTCTGAATGTCGAGTCATGTTGTAGTTCCGGTGTCCCTCAGTAGAGAGCGCTCCGCTCCGCACTCAGACCTGAGCCGCTCCTGAACTCCTGTGACCGGGCGGAAGTGAACCGGACCCCGTGTGTTTATTACTATTATCCCAGGCAGTGTGTGCTGTTGTTCTCTCAGCGAGAGTCGCCTGACGTTAATCGCAGTTTTGGTAAGTGATTTGTTTTTCACCGGAGGCATAATGTCTCATTTAAATGCTCGTATATATCACGGGAGTTTTAGCCATATGGTTTTGCTCGGGGTTTCATTGTATTTCCATTTTATTGATTGTGTTTGGTTTGTTTTTCTGTTACGTGTTTCCTTACTTTAAACTCTTTAAGATGTTCGAGCACCTCTAAATATCACAAAACTGTAAAATGTGAATAACAAAAGAAACATCCCAGCTAGAAATACATCATTTTGAAGTATTTCTCTCCTCATTTTGTAGTTTTAAGACCTGTTGAGACAGTTGGGGTGAATTAATATGTTGCCATTAAGTATGTAGATAAATTTTACATTACTTTTAGATGCTGAATGTCATTAGATGAAGGTTAGCATGATCTTTGTTTATTGTAAACCTCAAGGCTGTTGCTTGGTGTGTTTATTGTTCATATATGACACAAACAGCGGCTTCATGTTTCATAAACATTACCATGAAAACTATAATTGATCTAATTTTGTTTGTGCTTGTCAACATGTATTATTTCCCCTCCATGAAGCTTTTGACAAGATGGGACGCCGAAAGTCCAAGAGAAAGCCTCCTCCTAAGAAAAAGATGACGGGAAACCTGGACACCCAGTTTACCTGCCCCTTCTGTAACCACGAGAAGTCATGTGACGTTAAGATGTAAGAATATACTAGAATGCTCTTATACTAGAGCAAGAACGCTCTTTAAACTTGCATATCTGTTGCGTTGAATAAAACATTCACTAACACACAACCGTTTTACTTCATTCCAGGGAAAGGAGTCGAAACACGGGGATAATATCATGTACCGTGTGTCTAGAAGAATTCCAGACGCCAATAACCTGTATCCTTCTCAAAATCAGTTTGAAAAGACATGTGCATGTGAATTATTATGAGTGTGATTTATAATGTAAGTGATGATGTTGTTGTTGTTGTCCTGAAACACCCTCTCAGATCTCTCAGAGCCCGTGGACGTGTACAGCGATTGGATAGACGCTTGTGAAGCAGCCAATCAGTAGTTTTGCTGGGTCAAATGTCACAGACGACCAAATTATGCTTTGTGTTTGTTTGTTTTAAACCAATGTAATGATTTTCCTTAAGAATGATCTTATATAGCCACATATGAAGGTTCAGGAAACTGAGATTGTGGTTTAAAACCCAGCCTTTTCCCTTTTGTTTAGTTTTTACAGAAACGCTGAGAAAATGCAAGGGATGTCATTCATTTAATTCAGACATTTTTCTTTTCACTAGTTTCTTTTAGTTGTTACAATGTAGGTTTTTATAAGACCATTTCGTGTCAATAAATAAGTTGCATATTCTCTCGTGTGGAAAACTGTGGTTTATTTCTGTTGTGTTACTTTGAATCACTTAAGAACTAAAAACGGAAAACTGTTTGGCTGTTCATCGTTTTGGGGCCCTGAAAACGTTAACTTTTGGAAAGGGGAATTTTTTTTAAAACGATACTGCTATCATCTCTTGTAAACTACAAAAACACGAATCTGTGAAAATGGGGACGTCGTGTGTTACGTGTTCAGCCTATATGCACGTTGTTTCTTTACAAAGTTACATCGCCATCTACTGGCCTGGCATGAATAAGTTTTTAGTCATTTTCATGGATCCTTTTGAACAGGGATCATTTAAGGGGCCATTTTCAACTAAAAACACTTTTTAATGCATTTTGGGCATTCATTTACACAACAGCTGTGTTTTGTGGCCTGAAAATGCAAACTTTTAGAAACTTTCTTTAAACTATACAGTCCGCTTTAGGATAAACTACAAAATCATGAATCTGTGAAAATGGTGACGTTATGTGTATTGTTCAGCCTATAGGTGCGTTGTTTCTTTACAAAGTTACATCGCCATCTACTGGCCTGGCATGAATAATACAGCATTTCTAGTCGTTTTCGCGGATCCGTGTGAACGGGATCGTTTTGACAACGTTGTCGTTTGTACGCGAAAAAATGCAAAGGAAAAACTTTTCCGTTTTTAGTACATCATCTAGTACGTGTCAGTGTATCTTGAATTGTAATGTCTGTAATGTTACAAAGATTTCAGTTTTTATCCAGTGTTCATATACATAGAAAATAAAGACAAGTTATTTGAAAAGAGTGATTTATTCATTTTTTTTTTCACTTGCTAAGCCTCATATAAATAAAGACATTTGAAGCACTGATGCAAGAGGGACACGCTACATCACTTTCTGTGAGAAACAAAAGAAAGATTCACTGTTTTATGATCTTGTTGTGTTCTGCTGTCCCAGGAGAAACGCAAAGCAACGACATTCCTCAACACACATAACGCTTTGATATTTAAAAGTCTGCAACACGTTTATAAATTTCATGAGGGAGAAATATAGTCATGTCTAAACAATTTATAGTCGTATATAAGCTAAATATATTAACTCTGCACTTTGTTATTTCTTATATAGAATGGTCTCACAAACATCTTATATTGAGTTAATTTTGCATAAATGTGATTCCACTCACGCGATTGGTCGCTTTGAGTAATTCCTCTCACATGATTGGTCGCTTCGAACATTGAGTAATTCCTCTCACATGATTGGTCGCTTCGAACATTGAGTAAATCCTCTCACATGATTGGTCGCTTCGATCAATGAGTGTCAGATTTGATAGGCTGAAGAACAGTCACGCTTGAATATATGCAAGTTTATTGAATAATTTCGCATACGAGCATATCGCCTCTGGGAGTGACAGTCATTCCTTTTAAAAGTGCAATTTAAGTCATTCTGGTTCACATGATTTTTCACAGTATGCTTTGGTAAACTGCTTTTCAACAGCCCTCTTTAACAGTAGTTTCTCTATTTGTCAATTCGCTCTGTCTATTTAATTTTGTAACGGATAAACTGAATAAAAAATAGGTTGAGAAATATTTTTGCCCCAAATCCTCCCAATAAACTCGTCACTACGCTAGCTTAATTATTAAGATATATTAACAATTACTTATTTCAATCTTTAGCCTGGGGATATGCTATTCTTGAATCTTCACTATGAAAGACATATACTTTTTTACTTCATTCACTTAATACATTAAAAGTCCATTTATAATTCCTAGATGTTCTGAGATTGAAGTCCCCCTGTGGTGAAAATCGAGCTCTTTAGTTTAATATGTCTACGTGTTTGTAATGTGCTTTAACACAAACCCTGTGTAAATTCAGAAGTTTACAACACCTTAAAACTGCAGTGAACCAAAGACTCAAAAGCATGCTTTGAAATCGCTGGCGTTTCCGATGTCACAAATTTGAACAATCAGATCAACGTGTGATCGTCAACCAGTGGATCTGGAGTGAGTGAGTGAGAGGAGGCGGGGTTCAATAGCATATAGAACCACGTATACAGTATATTAAATGAGGCAAGGGTGTAGAGTTACATTCAAGCTATTTTAAGGCATGAAGGCATTTTATTTTCAAGGAAAAAACGTCAATGTCATTTTGGTGATCAGAGTTTTAAGTGAAACAATTATTGACTACAGGGGGACTTTAAAGCAAGTTTTCTCTCAATTTTCTTAGTAGTGATGATAACTATGAATCAAGAAGCTTAACGTGGTTACCTCAGCAAGACATGCTCCTGTCCTGGATCACCAAAAAGTTCCTGCCTGAATCTGTGTTTAGGGTGTCCAACCACGGTCCTGCAGAGCTATCTCCAACACACCAGCCTGGAAGTTTCCAGTATGTCTAGTAAGACTTTGATTATCTGGTCCAGGTGCGTTTGATTAGGATTTGGGCTGAACTCTGCAGGGACCCACCAAGAGCAGGATTGGAAACTCACGAAGAGCCACCACAATCCTGCAACTATTAAACACATCTGAACCAGCTAGTCAACACCATAGATATCCCTAATAAAGGCTAGATGTCTTATGGCAGAGTCTCTATCGTCATCACCGGCGGCCATCTTGTCACAGGCAAGCTTTCTGGCCGGCTTTTTGGTTCCTGATGTAAGATGAGTGATCAGAACCAAAAATCTTGATGGATTTACAAATGGTTTGGTTTCTTACAAACGTTATTAACGTGGCTATAATGCTGGATGATTATTTAGCCTATTGATACACACTTATTATTCATAAGTATCCAGTGTCATACCCAGATAGCAAACTGACATTGAATCAACGTGGAAATATGACATTGAAACAACGTTGATCTGACATAGTTTTGCTCATCGAATTAACGTTGAACCAACGTCAGACGCGTCATTCTTTCAAAACTAACGGAAAATCAACTTGAAATCAACGCGTTGTTTCAACGTTATGAAAGCAAACCAATTTTCGATTTTCATTTAGCTTTGAAGAATGCCGCGTCTGACGTTGGTTCAACGTTAATTCGATGAGCAAAATCAACGTTGTTTCAATGTCATGAGAGACGTCGTTTCCACGTTGATTCAATGTTAGTTAGCTGTCTGGCATAACTACATCTCTGATGTTTATTATAAACCAAACCGTTCGAAAATCGGTAGAAAATTGAGCAAGTTATGATTATTGAAAAAGTACATGCAACATTAAAACAATGTTACGAGTGAGCGAGCTGCCTGTGACAAGATGGCCGCCAGGTGCGAACGTCAATCTCCATTGGCCAGCAACGTGGACGAGATATTTAGCCTTTATTATGGGTCAACACATTCACAATTAGTTGAAAGCTACAGGCAAGGTGTGTTGTGTTGGAGCAGGGTACGGTATTACCAACCTCTGATTTAAAGGGCATTATTGGTTCAGATTGGTTCACTCTAAAAATGCTAGGTTGTTTCAATTTAAATTTAAAATGTAATTTTACATTTTAAACCAGCACCGATTGGGTTTGTCCATGTTTGACCCAAATATGGGTTGAAACAACCCAGCGTTTCTAGTCTGTCTTATACACTCTTAACAATGGTGGGTTGTTTCAACTCAAATTTGGGTCAAATATGGACAAACCCAAATGTTGGGTTAAAAATGTAATTAAAGATATGTACAGCTGAAAGTGAAAGTTGAAATTGGGTTAAAATTTTATATTACATTTATAACCCAACATTTGGGTTTGTCCATATTTGACCCAAATTTGGGTTAAAACAACCCAGCATTGTTTACACTCTAAAAAATGCTGGGTTGTTTCACCCCAACTTTGGGTCAAATATGGACAAACCCAGCCATTGGGTTACATTTTTTAATTCAATTTTTAACCCAACATTTCTGTTTGTCCACATTTGACCCAAATTTGGGTTAAAAAACAACCCAGCATGTTTTAGAGTGAATTCATCTCAAACTTCATTTTTTTGTACTGCATGGAATATTTTACTGAAAACAATGTATTTATAAAACCGCAAGGCCAACTAAATCAAGCCAGTAAAGACTGAAATTAGAGACACTTTACAAAACTTTTGATTTCACTTATACACTCAAAACAATGCTGGGTTGTTTTAACCTAAATTTGAGTCAAACATGGACAAACCCAAATGTTGGGTTAAAAATGGAATTTAAAATTTTAAACCATCTTCAACTCTCACTTCCAACTAAAAAAAATTTAATTACATTTTTAACCCAATATTTGGGATCATCCATATTTTACCCAAATTTGGGTTGAAACAACCTAGCATTTTTTAGTGTATGGTTGTTTGATCGGAATGATGTTCCAGAATGTGTCCTATTTGTTTAAATTGCCTTATGAAGTCCAAATAAATTCACTAAAAATTTGAATATATTCAGTTTACACCTTTTCAAACAACTTTGCTAAATGAGTTTTTGACATTAGTAAAACGCTTAATTGATTAAGTAGTTCATGTTGTTTTCTCACTCTAAAAAATGCTGGGTTATGATCAAATATTGACAAACCCAGTAATTGGGTTAACATTTTAAATGACATTTTTAACCCAAAGTTCAGGTTTGTCCATATTTTACCCAAAACTGGGTTAAAACCACCCAGCATTTTTTTAGAGTGCTTTAGGAAACTGATCATGACATAAAATGTAAGAGCAATCCACTGGCACTACTACCATTCAAAAGATTTAATGTCTTCTCACCAAGGCGGCATTTATTTAATAAAAAAATATCAAAACATCAACAACAACAAAAAATCAACATATAGTGATTTCTGAAGGATCATGTGACACTGAAGACTGGAGTAATGATCACAGGAATAAATTATATTTAAAAACTATTAGTATTTCACAATATTTACCATTTTCCCTGTATTTTTTAATTAATAAATGCAGCCTTGTTGAGCATAAGAGACTTCTTTCAGAAACACACAAAACTGTTCCAAACTTTGAACAGTAGTGCATATTTAACTATGAGGCATCATAAATAATATCTTCATATTTATCATCTGCATTGTTTTTTTCATATATAAAGACGATTGGGTCATGGAGGTGAAAGAAGAATGGCACACTCAAAAAAGTAATAAAAAAAGAAAAGTGAGAAGCAGGAAAAGCCTGTGCCCTCCTAGATTTGTTTTCTACAAACGGTCAGTCACTGAAGCGCTGTGGCTGTGATGTCAGAGGTCAAGCTGGTCCTACTGGTCGACATGAATCTGAAATATCAGAAATAGTGCTGGTGAAGGTTTTAAAAAAGCAGCGTGCCGGCGGCCGTCTTAGTCGGAATACTGATATCCGTCCATCTCTGAGTCCTGCCCGTTGTTGATGTGGTCGTCGGGATTGGAGCAGTACTTGCTGTCGTACACCTGACGGGGCAGACCGTACACCGTCATGCCCGTCTGGGACGCCACCTTGTTGGTGCCCATCTGCAGTGAGACGGTTGAGGTGTCGCACATCTCCATGTCCAGCTTCTTATCGAAGATCTGGCGCTTGGTGCCCGGGGCCGTCATGCCGGCCTGTGGAAGGGCAAAAGGAAAAGAGTTGAGCCACATCTTGGGTCTGTGGGCAGTTTATGAATGGTAGGAAGTAGGGGTGTAACGATACCCTCATGTCGCGATTCGATACATATCACGATTGCGACACTCCAAGACATA